GTAATGCAATCGTGAACTTGGTGTACTACATGTTTAAGTGAGTAAGGGCCTCAACGAATACCGGAACCAGTTCCGTGACGAGTGTCCACACAATGAAGGTATGTGGACAATGTTGTGACCACATGATGTGCGCAGTGTATGGTTCGGGGGTGGACACCCGTCAATGTGCGAGTGACGTGGTGTTCTGTAATTGGGGGTTTTGGATTGCGGTCATCCAGATGTGTACGAGGCAGTATTGGGTACCAACCTCCTCATGTATTCGGTGCAGCGGAGTGTCATGGAAGCTGAGCATCTCACCGCTACGTAGAAAAGTGGTTATCGCGTCATTATGTGCGCATCTCACTGGATACTTCAGTTGCTTCAATGGATACCTCAATTGCTTCTGAGGATACCCGAGCTGGGGGACGCTCCCGTCGTGTCTCGCTCCCGCCTGCGTACCTGCGAGCGTCATACCAGTTGACGATGCCGCGAGGTCGACTGTCCAACGGGAACCGTGGGGCGCCCTTACCCAAGAGCCTGAGCTTCCGCAAGAAGGGGAAGGAGGTGGTGCAGCCAGAGGAAGGTATGCATTACGATCATGAGTGGATCAGTCACGACGTTCGCGGCGGTTGTTGCGCGCGTATGCTAACTTGCGGTTCTGTGCGCCTGTTGTCATTCTGTCACCCACAGATGACGGCACTGGGGCGGAGAGTGCAGATTCGTCCGAGCGCAGCGAGGATGAGGACGAGGAAGGCGGAGACACGTCGGCATCAGGATCAGGCGAAGAATCAGCCGAGCCCGCTAAGGGGGGGAAGACGGACGACGATGGGCGTGCGGGACCATCCGCGGCCAACGCTGACACTCGCGCTAATCACGACGTGGACGGACTGGTGGGACCCACACGCTGGGACACAGTGGACGCCAACAGCGATGACGTGCGCATACCGAGCCGTATCCTCGAGCAACTCATTCAGGCTCAGGACAAGAGCGCCAAGGAGAACGCGCGGTTGGAGGCGCTGTTCTTGAATGCGATGTCTCGGCCGTCCAGTGGCTCTCATAAGCGTAAGGCGACCAGGCAGAGAGACCCGGGGCAGGGTTGTATGAACCCGAAGCGTAAGCGTGGCGAGACGTGGAGTGGCGGGTCAGACGATGACGGGGAGGACGACGATGACGACACACATGGATCTGGTGGCCGTCATATGCGCACGGCCAAGTCTCCTATTCTGCAGCGCGCCTTGGAGCATTTGCCTGCGGACAAGGCGTGGAAGGTGAGCGGGCCCGTTCCCGTCCGGTTCCATTATTCAACCGTCATGCATACCGGTGTGCGCCACTCATGTTGTTGTGTATACCTTATGTGCGCAGCGGGTGTGCGAGCTGGCCAGGGTGCACATGTTTCTCAACAGGCCGACGTCGATGATGACCTTCTACCCGAGCAGCGACGACAAGACACACGGGGTGTGTGCGGTGCTGGACCGCCTGCCGCATAGCTTCGCCTGTTTGGCGTTGGCGGCTGACAAGTCGCGTCGCGCTGATCTCAACAAGACACTCTCTGAGTGGAAGACGCGGGCTGCCGCCCGCGTGCGCGACATTGCACTTCCCAAGCTCGGCTTGTTCCGCGACGATCGGGACGCATCCAGCCCATGGGCACCGGAGAAGGAACGCAGTATTGAGAAGATCCGGGAGCGCATTGGGTTCGGCGCTGACCCCCCTGGTGAGTGCGGTCTACCCCAGCAACCAGGCTTGCCACCGCATCGTTATGCTGTCACCCTCGTGCGTGACGGCCGTTGACACTGACCTGCATGCACGTGGGAATGCAGAAACACTGGTGCTCACGACATGGGCGACAGACCGGGATGGCATGCCGTTCGCCTCTCGGGCGTTCGCGACATGTGCGAAGGCTGCATTCAGGCCCAAGAAGGCCGGCCTGGTGATGACGCTGAAGGTGTACCACCTGGCCTGGTTGGAGCATGTGGTGAGTCTGTGCGCTCTATGTGTGCCATGCATCTGTGTTGTTTACGTCGGACCATTTGAGTGACACGATGCGTGATGGCGCAGGTCTCCGACTGCGTCCTCTACTGGGAGCAGAGGAAAGGCCGGCTTTCCAACTCGGCCAGCGGAAACGCCCACGTTGTGGACGGCCTCAAGGTCCTGGTTAAGGAGGCCGTGGAGAGGGCGATCAGGATCCGCAACCCGGAGTATGACGCGGAGCGGGAGGCGTGGATCTGGGGGCGCCATGGTCTGCGCATCTCTGCGTGCGGCCTGGAGCACATGAGGCCCGCCGGCGCAGCCCAGCCGGAGGAGCCAGTGGGGGACGACGACCTTTCGGCATCCGTGGGGGATGAGTAGGACGGCTGGCGTGGAGGGGATGGGGGAAGCGTGGGTTTTACCGTTGCGGGGACAGTAGATTGGCTGCGTGTGTACGATGATTTGCGGCTGTGTGACAGGGTTATGTGTAGCTGTGGAACGCGCACCTGGGTTAAGCATGTGTCAGTGTTGAAGATGTGGGGGGGTTAGACATAGGCGTGGAGGCGTTGTATGTTTGTGTGTGCGTTTGTTGTTAATGGGAAAAGCTTCAATTGGGGTATTGCTCGCATATGACAGCACATAACAGAAACTATATGGTGCATGCCACAGCGAACCCGCCGTCGCCCAGATGTGCGGGACGGAGAGGGATGCGCCGCATTCTGCGGCGAATTTTACGGTGTGTGCCATGTGTCACCTGTACGTTGGACGTAAAGGACGCAGCGGTGCGCGTAAGTGGACATGTGGTTGGACCGCAACAAGGCTAAGGGATGACGTGGAGCCAATGGTATGGGAGGGTGGCACGCGCTTGTACACCCGTGTCACAATCGTGGACGAGCGTGAAGATGAGGCCGACGGTGGGATGTGCGCTGTGATATGCTATACGGGTGCGACAAATGCACGGTTGTGAGTGGTTCGCGCATACGTCGCAAACGTGAGCCACGATGGGTAGGGCAACCGGTTACCGTTTGTGCGATTGCATGATCGGGTTGCAAGTGTACGGGTAAGATGGATTAATTGTGCGTGACGTGGAAGGTCGGTGGTGTTTACGATGTATACAGATGGACGACGCAGGTGTCGTCGTCATCTAGTTGCGAGCGCAACCCTAATGGTAGGCGAGACTTTTCGCGAAGTGCACGAAACGGTGGCATTGGTTCAGGTGTACGGTGTTTATGCATTGGCGCGTCTGGTGCGGACGCACGATGCGCAAGTGGAGTGAGGCCGCGTGGATGAGGGGTAGTGGCTACCGTTGGCGTGATATGCGGTTTGCTGCCCTATGGGATGCATCCAAATGTACGGTGTGGGAAGGATGCTTGACCACCAGATGTACGGTGCAGATCGGAGCGCGGTGAGCTTGCAAGGATGTGCGAGTTTGTGTGCGCGAATGCGTAACGTGCTATGCGAGTTTATGTACAGGCGACACGTGTACCGTAGTGATTGCGTGACCAGGGTGTCCATCCAACGGTTGTGGTTGCTGTACGTTTTGCTGCATGTACGCTTACGTGGACGTGGGAGTTGAAACAGTATGCCACGTGGGGAAGCCCGTACGGATTGGCAGTTGGGGTTACGTGCTCGTCGCTTTCGAGTTGGTTGACACGGTATGGGCAGGTGAACATTTGGGTGGAGCAGCCCGTGACTGTTTAGCATGTGCGCAGATGCGGGTGGCGTTGCTAAACGGTTGACTGAGTTTGTGCAGAAAGGCGCGGGAAAGTGACTCGGAAGTTACTACGCCAGTGACTGTCGCCACGCAGTTCTAAAACCTTGATTCAAAAGTGCCGGGGGTGTACTATCGGGTAAGTTGTGCAAGAGTGTATTCAGGGTTACTTTCCGCACTTCCCAATTTCGCGCAGTGCGTGCGCATTGGGCCACGTGGCGAAGCACGCCGGTGACATGGCGATGAGATTGGTTGAGACGGGTGCAGTGCGATTGCTGGTGACATGTCTTTAGGTGCGACTTGCACCACTGGTAACCTGAATGGCAGTAATTCGGCAGTGATTCGTGTCCCCTTATCAGTTTTTGAGTCGCCTCAAAACGGGATGGCAGTGAATGCTACTTCCTTATTACGTGCGCTCTTCCAATCTCCGCTGCATGCATCCATTCATCCACCTGGCTCGTAGCTCGTGCCCTCCCCTCATGCCAGAACCGCTTCAACTCCTCTTATATCCCGTATCTCACGTCCTCATATTTCATTTTTTTACCATTCACCTCCACAAAACTCATGTCCTTATACCTCATGGCAGGACGAGGCTGTAGCGCGTGTAGCCCTCTCACGGTTGAGTGACGTTGCACGCCATTCCCTGCTGCATGCTACAGCCGTGGCCGCTGCTGTGTCTCATGCCCTCAGAGTCGCCTTTCCATATCTCAACTTCCCATATCTCATGGCAGGACGAGGCTGTAGCGCGGATAGCCCTCTCAGTGCTGACTGACGTGGCACGCCACTCGCTGCTGCACGCTACAGCCGTGGCCAATGCGGGCGGCATCACCGTCGCCGTCTCTCTGTTGGGATCACCTGACGTCAAGACAAGGCGTCAGGTGGTGTCCTGATGCTCATGCATCCCAAAGGCCCATTACCAACCCCCCTTTGATCACCTCTGCTGTCCTCTGCACCACCACGTATGCTCCTTCTCTCCTCTTCACCCTGCAGCTGCCCTCCCCTTCTCTCTGCCCTTGTCGTTTGCTCCTGCCCGCTTCTGCACATCTACCTTGGCTTTGGATCTCTACAGCACCTCCTTTTCACCCGTTTGCACCCATCTTGACGACCCCATGTGCCTCCTTGCACACCCGCTTGTCTTTCTGCTTCGCCTGTTTTCCCACCCGTCTGCGTCCCTTACAGGTCTGCGTCTGCCTTTCTACCATCGCCAGGCACTCTGAATCCCTCGCCCTGGTAAGCACCGCTCCAAACCATCCCGAACCGTCTAGAAACACCGAATGGCACATCTCCTCGCTTCACGGCATGGCCTCCTGCTGCCTACACACTCCACTATTCCGGCATGGGGGGCATGGGGGGCATTGGGCCGCTGCTCGATGCTGTGGGCACGTGGAGGGACGAGGGGGAGGGGGAGGGCATGACCAAAGGCTCCGCCAAGGTTTCAGGTCAGTGACTTCAGTTTTCTGTGCAATCTCTTTGTGGTCTCTTGTCTCCATCTTCTCAATTTTCTTGTCCCCATTCCCTGCTGCGATGTGGAGACGGTCATGCTAGTTGCGTTTGAAGCTTCCATGCACTGCCTCACTCAGTCGCTCACTTGCACACTCAATCCTTCAGCCACACACTCCTGCTCACGCACTCCCACCCACCCACCCACCCACACACACACACACACGCACACACACACACACGCACACACACACACACATACCTCCTGCTTTCCAACTTTCATTGTCTGATTTCCATCCCCTCTCCCCTTTTATCTCTTTCCACCCCCACACATTCTCTCCACCCCCACACATTCTATTCCCAGTGGTGGTGGCGCTCGGCTTCCTCGCAGCTTCCTCCCTCGATGCAGCGCTGGCAGTGGCGATGCAGCGCTACCATGTGATGCAGCGCTGGCAGGGGTGGCATGGGACGGTATGGGGTGGCATGGGACGGCATGGGGTGGCATGGGACGGCATGGGGTGGCATGGGACGGCATGGGGTGGCATGGGATGGCATGGGGTGGCATGGGACGGCATGGGGTGGCATGGGACGGCATGGGGTGGCATGGGACGGCATGGGGTGGCATGGGACGGCATGGGGTGGCATGGGACGGCATGGGGTGGCATGGGACGGCATGGGGTGGCATGGGACGGCATGGGGTGGCATGGGACGGCATGGGGTGGCATGGGACGGCATGCAGCGCTGGCAGGGGTGGCATGGGACGGCATATCCCCGCTGCAGGACCGCCTAGTGGAGGGCCATGCTGACGCCACTCTCCAAGGGGCCTGCGCGTGGGCCCTCTCACGTGGGTAAGGATGTCTGGGGATGGGTGGGGATGGGTGGGGATGGGTAGGGATGGGTGGGGATGGGTAGGCATGGGTAGGGATGGGTGGATGGGTGGGGATGGGCGGGGATGGGTGGGGATGGGTGGGAATGGGTAAGCGTTTGCGACTGACGAGCCTCAAGGCAGAGCGTGTGCTCAGCTCAGGGCATGAGGACGATGACAGGGAAACGCTGAGGAAGCAATGGGGCATGTGGGTGCTTCAGCTCTGCACTTGCTTTGCCCCCTTGCATCACCTTCCTCCCCCTTCCTCCCCCATTCCTTCTGCCTTACTTCCGCCATCCTTCTCTCTCCCCTTCCGCTATAAGACTTCATGGGATCCGAGAGACCATTTTATCTTTCTGCAAGCCACTCACGTCTTGGGATGCAACCTCTTTGCCCATTCCCTCCTCTTCCCATCCGCCCCCCCCATTCCCCGTGTTCCCTGTCCCTTCTCTCTCTGAGACCGCAGCAAGTGATGGACGAGGGTGAGGGCCGGCCGGCAGCGTCCTCACCAGACCAGACGCAGCGCTGGCAGGGGTGGCATGGGACGGCATGGGCTGGCATGGGATGGCATGCAGCGCTGGCAGGGGTGGCATGGGACGGCAAATCCCCGCTGTAGGACCGCCTAGTGGAGGGCCATGCTGACGCCACTCTCCAAGGGGCCTGCGCTTGGGCACTCTCACGTGGGTAAGGATGTCCGGGTATGGGTGGGGATGGGTATGGATGGGTGGGATGGGTGGGGATGGGTAGGAATGGGTGGGATGGGTGGGGATGGGTGGGGATGGGTGGGGATGGGTGGGAATGGGTGGGAATGGGTAAGCGTATGCGACTGACGAGCCTCAAGGCAGAGCGTGGGCTCAGCTCAGGGCATGAGGACGTTGACAGGGAAACGCCGAAGAGATACCCCTTGCTGCAGCCTTCTCTCCCCCCTCCCCTTCTGCATCCTCATGCATTCCGCCTTCTCTCCCCCCTTCCGCTATAAGACTTTATGGGATCCTAGAGACCATTTTATCTTTCTTCAAGCCACTCACGTCTTGGGATGCAACCTCTTTGCCCATTCCTTCATCGTGTCACGCCACGATGCTCTATACGTTCAGTTCCTGTAAGTCACGATGCTCTATACGTTCAGTTCCTGTAAGTCACGATGCTCTATACGTTCAGTTCCTGTAAGTCACGATGCTCTATACGTTCAGTTCCTGTAAGTCACGATGCTCTATACGTTCAGTTCCTGTAAGTCTCCTGCCATTCTGCTGTTTGAGTTGGCTCACAAGTGCTGCCTTCACTCTGCAAGCCACTCACGTTTCTCCTGCTGCTGTGTCCATTCCCTCTTTCTCTCCCTCCACCTTCTCGTCTTCCCTCCAGCAGTTCCCATTGCGACCACAAGCGCGCAGCAGCATATCTAGTCAAGGCCGTGTCACGCCACGCTGGCACTGAGCTGGCAGAGGCGGGCGTGCTGCCGTTGCTGACGGAGTGCCTTCTGGCTGCCATGCTGGCGGTGCGCGAGACTGCTGCGTGCGCAATGGGCCACGTGGCGAAGCACAGCGGTGACATGGCGATGTGAGTGGTTGAGACGGGTGCAGTGCGGTTGCAGGTGACATGCCTGCAGGTGGGATAACAGTCTGCAAATCAGCAGTAACTCATTCTTTCAAAAGGTCCATGCTCGCGGCAAGCATGTCTTTTCTCATGCTCTTATTAACTTCACGCGTCCTGTGTTCTGCCTTTTGCCCTCCATCTCATGCCCTTGTACCGCTTATCCCCATATCCCATGTTCCCATATATTATCTCATTTCCCCATATCCCATCTCCCAGTATCTCGTTTCCCCGTATCTCATCCCCCGATCTCCCATAGCAGGACGCGGCTGTGGCGCGGATAGCCCTCTCAGTGCTGATTGGCCGTCTCAGGAAACCACCTCGCGTGGCACGCCCTCTCGCTGCTGCATGCTGCAGCTACGGCCGATGCGGGCGGCGTTGCGGGAGGCATTACTGCTGCCGTCTCTCTGTTGGGATCACCTGACGTCAAGTCAAGGCGTCAGGTGATTTCCTTGTCCTGACACATGTTGCTTGAATGTACTGCTCTCATCTCATGCCAACCATGTCGTTGCTCATGCGTCCCCACCCCTCTCATGCACACGTTTCAGCCCTTTCTGATCACCTCCAGTCCCCTGCAGCACCATGCTTGCTCCTTCCCTCCATTTCACCCTGCAGATGCTCTCCCTTCGTCCTGCCATTGCCGTTTCTTCCCGTTTGCAAATATGAACAAATGGGATTTTCTACCATCTCTAGTACCCAAGCGTATGAAAACAAAGGAGCCGATATCCGTGGAAATCGTCAACCGCAATGTCCATATTGTCGTAAATTACACTGTATTGAATAATCATCAACGTGGAACCCTTTATTTCTCTTCATATGTAGCCTTGAAATCTAATAATATAACTTGTAGTTTCACCCCGCCAACACCAATTTTCATTTAGAGAGCAGTTTAGGGTGCAGACAGAGACTAGTACATGAGTGCATCAATTTTAGTGAACTTCGAGACAGTTTTATGAATGGCTTAGCGACATGTCATCAGGGACCACTAGTTTCTTCAGTTTCCCAAGGGCTTCGCTAAGCAGAACGACATCCAGGGCGCTAGGCAGGAGGAACAAATGGTCGCCCCAGGACGAAGCAGTTTTCCCGCTTTGCCGAGTTTCTAGCGGGCTATGCGGAGACTATTTGCACGTTCTGGTAACCATCTCTCGGACGATCGCAAGGCAATTCCTCGATGTCAAAGCTACGACTCTTCAGGGCGTTAGTGCCCTCGGCTCTGCTTCTAGACTCCTCCGCAGCAGCCAGGACAGCAGCAGGGGCTGCAGCGATTTCGCAAGCCGGAGGTCTTACCGCCCAGTCGTCGCAGCATTGCGCCGATCTTAGCCATTGCTTCGCTACTGTCGCTTCGCCTCATCGCAACCAGCAAGATCCATCAGCAGAAGCGGAAATCGCTAGCTCGAACGATCAGGAAGCCGATTCGCTGGTCCTGTCTGGCGCAGGTGATGACGGAAGCCGATCGGGCGCAGAACGACCCGCGGGTTCATCAGATGGACGCTCAGACGGGGACGATGGTTTTCGTGTTAGATCGGAGCCGTGGATCTTCAACCTGACCGAACTTCCTCCTGATTCGACGGCCGCGCGTTTGTCAGAGGAGAGCAAGGAGAACATGTGGCTGTTGCATCAGAAGGATCCGGGTCATTGGAGCGTCGCACGGCTGGCTCGCGAGTATCGCGTGCGACAGCAGCGAGTGCATGCGATCCTGTGGCTCAAGGATCTGGAGAAGAAGATGGAGGAGGAGCAAGGCAAGCCTCTTGATGACTCCATCGCGAAGGAGTTTGAGAAGCAGCATGGGTTCGTGTTTTCGGCTTTTCTTTTAACGACTTTTGATATCACGGGTTTGAATGTGTGTCTAACTATCTTCACACTTGATCGTTCACTTTCCCGTTTCGTCTCCCCTTCCAAGCACCATCCGTCCTCCATCCTGTCCCCCTGTCCCAACCCCCCACCCCCCCCCCCCCCCCCCCTCCCTCTCCCCCCCTCCCCCCCTCCCACTCTTGCTTGCCTTCTTCAACTGCCTCCCCCTGTTTGTTTCAGTTCCTACGACAAGGCAGTGGGAGAGCGCCATGTGAAGATCTACCCGAGTGAAGCCGTGGACTCGCTTCCAGAGGGGCCGGAGAGAGTGAAGCTGCTGCTACAGGAGTCTGAGAAGGAGGAGATGTGGAAACTGGACGAGTTTGTCAAGAGAATGGAGTTCAACAAAAAACAGGTACTTAATTGTCTTATTTGCACGCACTTGTGTGCGCACACCCACATGTACATGCACGTTTGCATGTGGACACCCACACACACAGCAAATGGCTATTTTCACTATTAATGTTCCTCCGCTGCATCATTCTTTACAAATGCTGGGATTTTGTGGATTATACCCAACATTTCCCTGCACTTGCCCATCCTCCTTGTTAAAAACTCTGCATGACCTAATGCTCCAGATGGCCGATGGCCCAGTTAAAGTCAATGCAATGGAGCGCCGTAGGCCTCCAAATGGCTGGACTTACCTTGTGGAAGAGCTTGGGGAGGCTGGCCGACGCGGTCGTGGTGGAGGCTATCGCTTTGTGGTTGAGCCTGGAGCTCGGCGGCGTGGTTTAACTGCCTTGGAGAAAGAGTTTCTAGAACGAGAGACCACACGCAGACGTCGCCGTCTCATCCCAAAATAGAGGGCGGTTTCCTAGTCAGCCCTCTTCCTTCACACTTGGTTCTTGAGCGCTAGAGCTCCTGATTTTGTTTTTGGTTACAAGCTGAGAGTAGATCTGGTATCAATGTCCACTATTCTGTCCGTGAGAAGAATCTCACATGTGAATTACGGTATAATACATGATCTTTATATTCGTTTGTTCAATTCTGTGCTACACTCACCCTTCATGGTCAGCAAACGTCCCATTTTCCCACAGAACCTCGGGAGCTGTTCCTCTTCGTCGCTTCTCGCGCCGAAAACTCGGTGCTCCATTGGCTGCAGGTTGATTCGGTCCGAGTCGGTGGGCTCTGTCAGGGAGGACAACCAGCCTGACATTTTTAGGCAAGGCCAGGTCTCCACCCCGAGTCGCTACTTGTAGGCCGAGAACCTGCTTTTCCGCCTCAACTATCTCACTTCTTGGACTATTTTTTCTGCTGGTGCGGAGCCCACGCAGTGAATCTTACTGATCCCATTGTTGTTTATCATCGTAAACCTTATCACTAATTGGTCTCTAACAGCTTCGGATAGTAAAACCCATTCGATCTCCTGTCACGTACAATAGCTCTCATTTGACGCTTGTTGCTTCGAAGTTTGTCACTCCGCTGATTTTCATCTCGATACGAACACGCTATAGTCCCATGCTTCGTGTTTGCCTGTTGAACTCTGATTTACTTTTTTCTTAACGGTCGCCTAGCTTTCGCGAAAGAACGACATTGAAAGCCTACTGGGGCGTCCGTCAGTCAAGAATTTGGCATGAGGTCTCTCAAAGGAAAGCATGTGGTCATTACCGGAGGTTCAAGTGGAATCGGTCTCGCGTGCGCTAAACGCTTCTTTCGCGAGGTACTTTGTGTTTTAGGCTAGCTACTGTTATTTCTTCATTGCTTCATGCAGAACCGTAGAGCTGTCCCCTTTTTCCGAGACAATAGTTCGTGATTTTTTTCCGCTGACGCAGTCCGCAGCCTTTCTCTATGTCGCGCGTGATTACGGCAGGGTGCTAACGTGACATTGATTGCTCGAAATCACAAGAAGCTGGTTCAAGCAAGGAATGAGGTGGAAGCTTGCCTTGACAACGCTACAACCCCTTCAAGCAACACCAGGACCACGCTCATCTCCCCTAATCCGTGGGTATCGATCAAGGTTCGTCTCATATTGACAGATTCATCTTTCTGTCAAAATCATTATCGGATGTAAGGTTCCTACCTGTGTAGCTGAAATCTTCTCGCACTACAAGTGTTCGCAACTTGTTAAGCCTCTTCAACATCCTCCATCGGTTCCTAACTTCGCCTCATTCCCTGCATTTTCCTTTCTCTTCCAGTCCGTGGATGCGACTGACCAGGCGGCTATCAAGGCAGCGATCACATCAATAGATGAGGAGTGCCCTATTGACATCCTGCAGTGCAATGCCGGCATTGTGAGGACCGGACTTGTGGAAGACTTATCGGCTGAAGACGTGCAGTCACAGGTTCACACCAACTTCCTGGGGAGTGTGTACCCAGTGCAGGCTGTACTCCCAAGCATGAAGGCTCGTGCCGATGCTGGGGAAGAGCCTGGTGCTATTGTCTTCACGTGCTCCCTAGCAGCTCTGGTAAGCCTTACTAGTCATCATATTTATCCCTTAATTTGCGCTTACGAGCTGACCATTGATCTTTCACGCTTGCACTTCTTTCAGCTGAGCTCACCTTAAAATCTGCTCGTCCTCAAAATAGCATTGGTGTTGTAGTCTGACCCTGATTCTTTGCTTCCTTTTTATTTACTAATACGTATGGCAGAGCTTCTGGTATGGAGCTTCGATATATACGGCCACTAAGTATGCAGTCAGAGGATTCGCTGAGGCTTTGCGGCTTGAGGTTCTACCGTACAACATTCAAGTGTCACTGATATGTCCAGGCTTCACAGACACAGCACTACTCGATGATGGTGAGCCAACCTGCCTTCGCTCCTCCCTTGTGCTATTTTTTTGCCACCGCGACAACTTACCGACGTTTTCGCATTCCTCCCTGTCCTGGTTCTCTTGTCACCCAAACCAGCCGAGTTCACTGGCAAGCATTTGACCAGATCAATGAAAATCGCATGCTTCTACGACCGCAACAACGTCGAATCTCCAGACTCCATAGCCCAATGCACAGTAGCGACTGTTCGTTCTGGGGAGTTTTTAGTAGTCACGACACATGGCATTGTCCCACGGACACTCTGCTCTTTGTCGAGAGGGATTTTTCCATCCAACAACATCGTCATGTGGCTGTTCGAGGTCATTTGGGCCTTCGGCTCCAGGATTGTATCACTGCTGGTCCGTGTGCTCATCTTCTCTGGATTGCGGGCCATCCACAGGCAGCAGCAGCAGGAGCAACGGCAGCATGAGAAGGGGTTGCAGCAGCCGGCAGGGAAAAAGAGGAGTGGAGCCGTGTCATAGAAACCCGTGAAAGTTCAATGGCCAATCAGCATGGCAATGTGCTGGAGGTCCATGTGCCATGATGCTGATCCTTCAACAGCCCTATTGGTCAAAGCCCACTTCAACCTACTAACACATACCTTGTCAGGCAGACCGCAATACACTAACAACCATTTGTATTTGCAGGGAGTTATTCTTTCATGATGACCTGGTTCATCTCGAGGCAGATTCAATGTGCCTTGTACTCATCACTTGGAAGTGTGGAGGTTATGAACAAATAAGCAAGTGGAGGTTCTGATTTGAAAGCCATATCCATTGAGAAGACTTGCTAAAATACAATGGAGAAGCGATACCCGCCCTCATATCTAGAAGTTCTCATCTTCTAGTACAGCAGCAGTGAGCAAAGCAATATCTGGCCAAATCAGCTGATTCTCCAAGTAAATGTCCCATCTACCGTATGTGGCTCATGCATACTGAGGATATCAACAGGCTGGTACTGTATCAGCACTGTAAGAGGAAGGCTGAGGCTGTATCCATAAATATAGCATCATGCACATCTCTAGTGACCTGTACCAACTAATACCGTCATCGCCCGGATAGAAGACATATATGTCTTATCTTATACATTAGAAAAAAAGCTTGCTGTGTCTTGTAATTGGGACAGTTTAGGGTGTCTTATAATTCTTATAAATGGACAAAAAACCGTTTAGAAGATACCCCCTAGTCATAAGATTGCCCCTAATCCCTATACTGGCTTAACTTGTACACACCGACAGTTGTCTTATAATCAGGAACACCCATCTATAAGAAACACCCGTTTTAACGACACCCCATGTCTTCAATTCGACACTGTCTTATATCCGGGCGATGACGGTATGCTAACTTCTAATGGCAGGCTATTTACCACCGATCGCGTGAAATGGCGGTGAAGGAGCTATGCCTCATGAGTAGGAGAGAAAGTGGCGCCTCAACTCCACATCAATCATACGTCATGGGAGCTTGACCGCATGATACTGGGACCAATGAAGAAGTTTTTCTGTACGGCGCGAAGTAGGCGATCTGGAGACCAGCGGTACGAGGGAATGTTCGTCAAGATGTCCCTGTGTGACGGAGGTAAGACACAGAGAGACCGAAGTGAAAGAAGAGGGATTCTTTCAGACTGAGAAAGAGCTCTAGAAAAATGAGGAGAGATGCACACAGAAATTTGATGAAACCATCCAACAACCAGCTGGAGGTACGCAGACATGGTCATCGAGGGAGCGTACGCACTTATATTTGTTGCACATGCATGCATGGTAAAATGCCTGTGGATCGCACATGTGGGGCTCATGATCACACTGGAAGGAAGGGGTGAGAAGGCACCTGTGTGGAATGAGAAAGTCCTTGTATTTGTCATGCAGCGTCGTAGCCAGCAGTTGTCGAATGTTCCTGCGTGTGCTGATGTGCACTATGTTCCAGCTGCCCTGCAGAAGTGCCAGCTCCTCAAAGGCTGCATTGAACCGCTTTAACCTGTCAAGGGGTATCATGCAGGGCCATAGCAAGGTAGGTGAGCAACTGTGAGGTGGGATGTGTTTCGAGAACATAGTTGGAAGGTGACAAGATCCAATGCACTGACCTGATCCTGAGCTCCTGAGCATTGAGTTGAAAACTGGCCTCCATGCATAGAAGGTGAGAGCATATCTGAAAGCGTAAAGAAGGTAGTGCATGGAGAGATTTATGGTGGAGCGTATGGTATGGGTGTGGCTGGTATGACTGGTAAGTGCCAGCGTAACTTCTATATGGCCGCCTGTGCATTGTCAGGAGTGCACGGGATTAAATAGCATCTAAGAGCTGTAAGAATATGCGCTCTACTCGCACGAAGAGGCTCACCTTGGCAGTGATAGCGTCTAAAAAGGCTTGTTCACACTCCTTGAGCCGCTCAGACTGTTTCATAGCCTCCTTCATGCTCGTGCTTGCACTGCACAGAGAACAGAGAGCAGAGAGCAGTTGAGTCTTTCACTACCCAACCCACTGCTCTATCCGCAACTCATTAACCAACGGATTTATGGGCAAGTGGCCAGTTCAGAGAATAGTCATGCACTCACAGAGAGTTGGAGACATAGGCAGTGTTGTTGAGCATGAAGAGAGCAGCAACAGTACTCTCTGCAATGACCTCTGCCCGCACTTGCATGTTGTGGTGCAGCGCTGCCAGCAGGTCACTGATCTCCTCGTTTAATACTCTCCTTGTGCCTGTTTCCCCTCCTCTTCTCCTGTACACGCTCTCCAGCATGCGCGCATACTTGGAGCCGTCTCTGTGGGAGAGCGACGTGAGAGCGAGGGGTTAAGGAGGCGGTGGTTGGACGAGAAAGACGCGTGTGTGCTTGTAAGACTGGTGCATGAGTGATAGCATGCTTGGTTGTCGCATACAGCTACTCACTCACTTCTACGCTGGTTAGTAACACTCATATCCATCCCATGGTCATCACTCACTTGCGCAGGAGCTGGTTGACGTAGTTGACAGTGTAGCTGGTGATGGCATGTACTGACACATCCGTCTCTTCCCTTGGCCTCTCCTCCGCTGGCGCCTTCCACAACCTGCCATAGGCCAGACGGAATGCAGCTTGTAGCTTCTCAACGAGATGCTCATCGTGGGTACAAGGACCAAGAATTGATGCGGTGGAGCTCACACTGCTTGCCCCCTCTTTATCTCTCCCTTCCACCTTCACTCCTCAAGGCACAATGTGGAGAGCCAGCAGCTACGGTATCTCAAGCTGCATCTACACCATTCACCTTCTTCAACACCTCCTCACCCCAGTCTATTCCGATTCCACCCCGTTTCACCGCACTCCACTCACCTGAAAATCTTCTGTGCAGACCGTGGCGATGCTGCAACAGCCATAGCCTGCTGCGCTGCACCCACATCGTTCAGCCTCTCCTTGAGCTTATCGATGGACGCTATTGCTGATGATGTCAGCAGTTTTGGCAGCTTCTTCCATTGCTCATGGGCTTTTTCCATACCTGCTGCCATCAGCACATCTTCCATCTGCATGGGTGAGTGAGTGGAGAGGGGAGGGTCAAGCAAGGCAGGACGGGATTGTATTTTAGGCACCTTGGCGATAGAAAAACTGCTGTCACAAGCACATAGTCTATCCGATTTGATGGATGGAAAGGAGAGGCAAGTACAGCAGGAGAGCGAGATTTGTTTTTGAGACACCATCAATTAGAACATGAAAACTGTTGTTCTTCCTTTCCCCTTTCCATGTCTTGGTAACCATGGTGCTAGGTATCCACTCACTCACTCACTCACTCACTCACTCATTTACTCAATTACTCACTCACTCACCTGTGACCCAAGGTCCTGGGTGGCCTGAATCATATCCAGCAGACTGAACAGCTTCTCCGGCTGCTCATCAGAGGAGCAGATGGCAGCAGCGTTGCCACACAGCAGATGCAGCGCCTGCTTCAGCGCTGCTGCTCGCCGCACAATGCGGCGGAAGGAGCGGGTGGAGAGGGTGTGGGAGAAGAGGAACACGCTGTCGCAGAGGAAGCGCTCCGCTACTAGCAGCACGTCCATCTGCTTGTAATGGGTATGAGATGGGAGGGAGCGGGTAAGGTTAGAGTGTGAAACCAGAGCTTCACACTCAAGGGTGCCACTGTCAGATAGCTTGACCCGTACTCACTGACTTACCAGCAGGTAGGCATGTAGCACCCAGGGTTTGAGAAACACCTCCTGGGCTCTCCAAAGCAGGGTGGAGAGGGAACTGAGTCGACTTCTAAGTCGACTGAAAAGTCAAGCTGATACTCACCACTGGACTCACCAGCAGGTAGGCATCTCGCACCCAGGCCTTGAGAAAGACCTCTTGGGCTCTCCAAGTCAGGGCGGAGAGAGCACTGAGTCGACTCAAAAGTCAAGCTGACTGTTGCCACCGGACTCACCAGCAGGTAGGCATCTCGCACCCAGGCCTTGAGAAAGGCCTCTTGGGAACTCCAAGGCAGGGCGGAGAGGGCAGGGGCGCGCACTTCCCCCATCTCCAGAGCTGCTATGGCTGCTTCAAGGGCTGTTGCCCGCAGTGCGCTGGGAAAGTGAGGCGTAAGGTGTATAAGAGAGGGTGGGGGGATGGAGGGAGGAATATCATATATAACTAAAGGTGGAGAGGGCAAGGGCGCGAAGTCCCCCCATCTCCAGAACTGCTATGGCTGCTTCGAGGGCTGCCGCCTGCAGTGTGCTGGGGACGAGAGGTATATGGTGTACAGCAGAGGGTAGAGAGAGGGACGGAGGTATATGGTGTACAACAGAGGGTAGAGAGAGGGACGGAGGTATATGGCGTATAAGAGAGGGTGGGTGGAGGGAAGGCGGTGCGGATATCATATACAATAGAAGGCGGGATGGTGAGTGGCGCCCGATTTCCTTATTCCCAGAGCCGCTATGGCTGCTTCGAGGGTTGCTGCCCGCAGTGTGCTGGGACAGGAGGCTTATGGTTACAGCTAGAGGAGAGTGACTTTTGAGTCGACTCAAAAGTCACCTCGACTCAAAAGTCACTTTTGAGTCGACTCAAAAGTCACGAGGGTTGCTGCCCGCAGTGTGCTGGGACAGGAGGTTTATGGTTACAGCTAGAGGAGAGTGACATGGAATGCAAGGGAAACGTTTTGGGCTGCTTCAGAACGAGGATGGCGGAGGGCCAGAAAGGGTGATGCTTCAGTTCAGCCGCGGAAGACGGTGAGTAAGGAGACAGAGAAAGAGAGACAGTTCAAAAGCAGCAGCGTTGGGACTTGTGCGGTTGGTGATAAGTATCAAAGAAGCGGCAGGTGGTGATGAGGTGAAGCAAGGGCCCAAGGGTTGTGAATAGCAAGGGCCCAGGGGTTGTGATTCAAAGGCAGATCGAAAGGCGGAGAGGGTAAAGAGGGGAAAGAGGTGGAGAGAGGAGAAAGGTGGGGAAGAGGAGAGCGAAATTTATACCAGTACTCGACCAAACACTCTTTCGCTTTGCCCCCATCAGCTAGCTGCTGAGCGATTCTCTCCAGAGAAGGCACAGCCTTCACAGGCAACCATGGCACCAACTGCTGCTGCCCATCCTCCTCCATCCCCCCTCCTCTCTCACTCCTACCCACTGCTCCTCCTATTCCCCCTCCCCCAACTCCCCTTGGTCTTGCCAATGGACCAGAGTCCCCCTTCCGCCCTCTCGCTCCCCCTAAAGGGGGAAGGGGCTCCGTCCCCCCGGTTCCTGCTCTCAACCCCCCTGCACCTGCCCCTGCCGCCCCTGCCCCCGCCCCACCAGCAGGAGATCCTGTTACAGTCACATTTGTTCCGGATTCCCCACTTAACGCCCCTCTCATGCTTCTCCGTGGTACTACTATTGTGAAATTCGCTGCAGCAGACTGAGACCGACCGTGCCTGCTGGCTCGGCTCTGCCGAGCCTGACTCGGCAGGTCCGGGAGCGGATACAAATCCTCTTCCTCCTGAACCTGCTGCCGATCCCCCTCCTGCTGCTTTTTCTGCTGCTCCCTTTCCCGGCGTGAGAACCGGCGCGCTCCTTCCGCTGCTGCGTCTGATTCAGCCCGAACCAATTTTGAGGTTCGGTTCTTCCGGGCGTGGATCGCAGACACGGCACTCACAATAGACGCAGGTCCGGACATCTGGACTGGAGACGGCAGCAGACTCGGGATGTCTTCTGCAGCTGCCCGGGTGCTTCGGGACACCGAAGCAGAGCTTCCCGAGCCTGATGTGTCTGAGAGAGGAGAGAACGTGAAATTGGAGGAACCCCCCCCATCGTCATCCTCATCCCCATTTGTGGCAGCCTCGTTTTGAGCACAAGCACCATGGTTTCCGCTAGCATTTGCACCTATCCTCGCATGGGATTCCGCTGCAAAGGTATCTTCTACTTCCACGGCTTCAAATTCCGCAAAGAGGGGATGCGGATGGGTCTGCTTTGGGGATACCAGCTCAGGATTGGTTGGAATCTCTACATGTGGAGTGTTGAAACGATGCACTGAACCTTTCCTTGATGCCGCCGCCGCCGCCGCCACCGCCGCCGCTGCTGCTACTCCTCCCATTCCTTCGGCACTTCCTGCTTCTCCACCAGCCGTCCCATCCCTTCTAGCGGCCACAGCAGCAGCAGCGGCAGCAGAAGGGCTCGGGGTTGGGGAAACCTGGGAGTTACGATGACGCATTCCGAACGCTGCGAGCAGGGGATCGCGCGCAAACAGATCGTCTGACATCGTGCGCTTATGCACGCTCGCTTCCTCTTCTGTCATCCCTCTGTGGTCCATACCAATCCCTGCCTCCTTCCCTTCACCGCCAGTCCGTAACGCCGCTCCTCCTCTTCCTCTCCCTCCTCTCCCTCTCCCTCCTCCTCTCCCTCCTTCCCCTTCTCTCTCCCCAGTCCCTCCACTCTCTTCTCCTATTTCGCCTGCTAATGCCGCCTCTTCTGCAAATGCATCCATTTCTGCTGCTGCTGCAGCAGCAGTAGCAGCTGCTGCCAGTTTCCCAAAAGGATCCAGAGTGATGGGCGGCCGAGTCGACAGCTTCTTGAATCGCTTCACAAGTGCACTGTACTGTGCACTGTACATGGGGTTGACCGCTCTGCTGGTACCTCCCCCACTGCTGCTGCTGCTGGTGGGGCTGCTGTTGCTGCTATAACTGTGAGAAGCCCTCACGTTGTTGCTCGCTGCTGCTGCCGTCGGTGCTGCTGCTGGACCATAACTCCCCCCCTCATCATCAATAGCAGATAGGCTCTTGCTGTACCGCGAGTTGCTTATGCTGTGTCCACTGCTGACCCCACCAGAATCAGCAGCAACAGCAGCAGCAGCAGCAGCAGCCCCAGAACCAAGAGCACCATCACCAGCAGACACAGAGCGGGGGAGAGGCGAAGCAGATCGGACACTGAGGTCCAAAACAGCCTTTGCCATGGGCACCTCAAACGCCTTGCAGTGCTTCACGAGGCTATCCTTGAACTCCTCTATAAGCATTTCCATGCATCGCTCTATAAGCATGTCCACATCGCCCAGCACCTTCATCACCTCACCTTCACTCCCAGCACGCAACCGCCCAAACCCCAACCCTAACCCTAATCTTAACCGTCCTAACCCAAAACCCTCACTCCCAGCCAGTTCTCCTTGGTGATCTCTAAACCCGTTCAGATCAACGCTGTCTACTGCTGCTGCCGCCGCTAGAGCTGATCCAAATATGGTCGGCGGCTGACTGGCTCTCCTCCCCAGCTTCTTTTTCCTCATCGCATCTGCGAATCCCGCTTCTTCCATCGCTCCTCCTCCTCCTGCTTCTTCCCTTCCGTCCGTTTGATCATCACCATAGTTGGCAGCAGCACCACTGCTGCTGCCATACCCCCTGGTCCCCCACACTCCCATGTCATCTCTGCTGCTCTCCCCGCCTTCGTAATACTCCGCCCCCCTTCCGCCCATGCCGTCACCCGCTCGTCCCCCCGCCCCTCCAGCACCCCCCTCTTTGTCGTTTAGCCGCGCGCGCAGAGCCTTCTGGATGGCACAGAGGCGGGCAGTGCCGCCCAGAAAGGTGTCCAGCTGCCAGCGTGGACCGACCGCCATCACTGCATTCAGCTGCCCAGGTAGCAGGCGGAGGGGGGCCGGGGAGGGGGGAACGGAGAGGCGAGGGGAAGGGGGCCGGGGGGGAAGAGGGGGAAATGGGAGAGGGGAGGGGTTGCGGGAAATGCATCTGCCCATCTGCCAGCGCGGCCCGACCGCCACCACTGCATTCAGCTGCCCAGGTATCGAGGGGAGGGAGGCATGGGGGTAAGGGGGGCGCGCGTGGGGGGAGGGGAGAGGGGGCAGGGCAAGGGGAACGGAGAGAAGGAAGCGGGGAGTGGGGAGCGGGAAGGGGGATTAGGGGGACGTGGGGAGGGGAAGGGGGTTGGGGGGGAAAAGGGGGAAATGGAGGAAGAGAGGGAGGGGGTGGGGGAAAGAGGGGGAGAGCGTGTCACGAGTGTGGAAGGATTGTGGTGAGCGGTGCGCAAATAACGTTCTTACTAAATCTCAAGTGAGGTTCCGAAAAACCGGAACAAATGGCTTCTATCTCGTCTATTCCCTTCCTTTCCTACACCGCTTCCCCCGCAACAACAGCGCGGTGCCGCGATCGCATGCGACGCGGGGAAAGCAACGCACCTCGTGAAGAATGGCCTTCGCTTCCTCCGCTATCGTGCGGTTCGGCGCTAGCTTGCGCGTCCATGACGGCTCTTCCATTGACGAAAGGCGACGTCACCTGATGGCTGCGTCGGCGACTAAGGTAAGCGAAACGCGAATATGAGCGAGAAGAAAGGAAGTTCGGTTGGACACGTCAACAGGAACCTACTCTCCCTCTGGACAAAGGTGAGTGCAAATCCGAAAATACGAGTCAGAAAGAGAGAGCCACGGGTCTAAGTTCTGGTTTGGACAGCCGTGAAACTACGCGAAGAGAATGTAGGCACGCGCCTTGGTTGTAGACAGCGTGTCGCAGCGTGCTGTATCGCACAAGACATAGGCGCGAAACTGCACGATTAGCTATCAGGATGAACTGAGAGAATTACTGTAGAACCTGGATCGTTGATTCATCCTTACTCGCATGGCCTCGAATTACTCGAGTGGCCACCAAATTTGGTGATAATTACTCGAGTGGCCACGCCAGGGGATTCCCGCTGGCTTTTTTTTCCCGGCGCATTACCCTACAAGGGCTCGTATCCCCGAAACCGCTGTATTGATAATTCCGCGATTTTCAATTTACGCGATGATTTAAAATGGATGCTTTCGCGTGATGATATATATTCGAAATTTATGTTCGTGACTCTATATGACCGCGCCTGATTAAACGTGCATATAGTCGACCAATCATGCGAGGTCATTAATGGTCCGGCACATCATATATTAATGCCCGATCATATATTTCCGCGATCATAAACTTACAATGCCGGGGTGTCAATGCGCGGGACATTTAATGACCGCGCATGATTGGTCGATTATATGCGTGGTGCTTTGTTTTGCAATGCGCGTCCAATCAGGCGCGGTCATATGGGGTCACGATCATAAATTTCGGATATTGAAGATCGCGCATTAATCAGTACAGAGGTTTCAGGGTTACAAACCCTGGTAGGGTAACGTTCCGGGTAAAAAAAACCAGCAAGAATCCCCTGCCGTTGCCACTCGAGTAATTATCACCAAATTTGGTGGCCACTCGAGTAATTCAAGACCACGCGAGTAAAAACGAACCACCAATCCAGGCTCTACAGTAATTCTCTCAGGATGAACTACTTGGAGACTATGTCAGGTGAGGTGGCAGGTTGACCGTGTGGTGCGTGTGGGCCAAATCATTGCCATTACGTTGGCCTGATTCTGTGTTGGTCTGACAGAATCAAATGTGATTGAGCGCGGTTGGAACTTGGAAACGCAAGCCACTCACAGCGGGCTTTTCCAGAAACGACGGCAAACATTCGCAGTCGTGCTGTCTCGTTGACGAATGATAAGGCGTGCGAACCTGGTTACTCGACAGCTGTGTCCATGTGTGAAGGGACCAGGTTTGATTCGGTCAAGCTGGCTCAGTTGTTCAAACTGCGGTGTCTCGATTGCGTATCAACATACGAACGGCTTAGCATTTATCTCTTATTCAACAGCATTCATAGCGGAGCATTCAGTAGAGGAGTAATTGCTCCGACGGATTTTTCAAGGGACATTCTGTTTTGCTTCTCAGCGCCCCCGCGCTCAATCGTCACATACCACCGCATCATCCGCTCCGCACATTCCAGCTCCGTTTTCTGGTTAATCGCAGCCGTTCCTGTTCTCAATTAACTTAGTCCGTGAACACTTTACAGGTCACTCTTGCTTCTTCCCGACTTGCTCAGATGGAAGTAGCCCGAACAACCACCGACCGCCATCTCTCGATTCGGCATCCTCGAGGCGCCATTGAGGCGCCTCAAAGCCTCATAGCCTCGACAATTGGGAATATGGCGAGCCCGATTGGTGTTCCCTTCTTTCCCTTTGGATTGAATTCCCGTCTTTATGGTGTCTCCAAGAGCTTCGGCATTGGGCGTTCCGATTGGATGGCTCGTTCTTGCCCTCTCCCAGTGGAAGCACGAAGCTTATCATTGCCAGATGCTCATCGGCGCATCCTGACGGCTGGCTCCTGCTCGACGAACCACGTGTACGCATGTGACGGATCCGATGGACTCATTGCACCGTGCTAAACCGACCCTCGCCCCGACATAGTACCAGCAGCTGCGGGGTCCGTCCGACCCTTCATCTCTGTGCGTCCAACTTACTCCAAATTCCAACAGCATCGACCAAGCACTCTTTCGTCATTCAAGAATCAATCCCTCCCCGGCATTCAACACGCAGTATTTCCTCTCCACCATTGCTCAACCACTTCCTCCTGCGCTTCTATCCTTCGCCTCCCACTCTCTGCATCCCGGGCTCTCCCTTTCCTCTCCTGGTGCACCCCAAAAGCTTCTCTTTGACTTGTGGGGTGCCCCTCATAACCGGTGCTCTGGACAAGCTGCAGCCATTCTTGAGGTGCCTCAGAAGCCAGAGTCAGTGCCCGTACTGAGCCATTCTGACCCAGCTGGGTAACTAGTAAAGAACGCCTACTATGGAAGGCTCCTTCTTTCCTATTTTACACTCACGAGGAGGCTACTATCGGGCTCAGAGGCTCTTATCCCGGCAACACCGCCCTTTGATCCAGCAGCAGAGGAAGCTAATGCAAGAAGATAGAGCGTTTCACGTGCCATGCGCCGCTGTGCTGTGCGTCATGCTTGCCGCTACCACTGCTGCTGCAGAGCCAGCCCACGGATACAGGGCAGCAGTGGGATCACAGGAGCACAGTGCAATGGCTGCCGCACACGAGGGTGGATACTGGCACAGCATGGGCATGGCTTCACGGTTTCGCCTCGTGGAAGATATTCCCACATCCTCCACTTCTGCGACTGCTGCTGCTGCTTCGACCACACCTTCTGCATCCCCTTCTCGCCCATCCTCCTCCCTCCCCGCCCCTGCCTCCCGACGATCTACCTCCTCCTCCTCCTCCTCCTCTCCCTCCTCCTCCCGACCCTCCTCCTCCTCCTCTTCATCCACTCGCGCCTCCTCCTCCTCCTCTGCCGCTTCCCGGTCTACCACATCGAATCCATCAGCTACGTCAGCCTTAGATTCTGCACCTGCAGAACCCACTGATCCCCCTTCCCCCAAGCTCCCCCCTTCCCCCAGAGGTCCCACTTCAACATCCGCCCCCCCTCCTTCAACCCCCGAACCTGCCTTTTCCTCGCTCGCTCCCTCCCCTTCTGCCTCCGAGCCAGCCCTCCCTCCGCTTATATCTGAACCCATCGCATCCCCCCCTCTCTCCCTCCCACCCTCCCCTCCTCCCCGCTCTTCCCCTCGCCCCCGTCGCCGCCGCCAGCCCCCTCCCCCACCTCCCCTCGAAGCCCCAACCCCTGCGCCCGCCCCTTCCCCCGAGCTCCCCCTTGCCCCTGCCCCTGCCCCCGAATCCCTCCTCTCCCCCTTCCCCGCCCCTGCCCCTTCCCCAGCCTCCACCCCAGCACCCGCCCCTTCCCCCTCCCCCTCCCCCGCCCCCGCCCCCGCCCCCGCCCCTCTCGGCCAATCACTTCTCACCAGCTCAGCGAAATGCCCCGGGATAATCATAGACTATCGCATTCTCTCTCTCACGCCCATCCCCTTTGCCGGAGCGCCTGCGTTCCGCTTCACCTGCAAGGTTACCCTCTATAATGTGGGCCCCAGGCCGCTCAGGAAATGGGCGCTGTCGTTTGGGTATGTGAATCAGGAGGCGATTGGAGAGGTGGACCGGGCGGTTGTTCCTGCGGGCGTGCAGCTGCCAGTAGCAGGTGAGCTCATAACGAGTACATGCATACACATGTGAATGAATGCTAGACCTGTTGCATATCCTTGCGAATGAGTCCACCTGTATTTTTCCTGTTTGGTGCCTCTCTAATCTCATGTTTTCCTACCCTAGTGCCCAATCTGGACTGGTCTCATCTCGGTTCAGAAACGTTTGTCTTCTTCGCCATGCATTCCCTCTCTCTCTTGCATATCCTTCTGTGCACCTCAACCTCCCTCTTCTCGTTCCGTGTTTCCTCACTTTGCTTGGTTCCGGTTGCTTCCTCCAGGCAACGGTCTCGAGCTCTCCAGTCCACCAGGGGCCGCATTCCTGCTCACAGCCGTCCAATCAGGTGGCCAGAAGCGGCGCTTCCAGCACGTGATACAGCTGGCGGGCACAGAGGTCGCTGCCACGTCAGCAGCTGCTGCACTCCCCAGGACCATCTCCCTTGATGCCACTGGGTTTACCTGTAGCGACACACCCATGGTTTCAGGTAGTGAGGTTTGGGATTAGCAGGATTCGTTTGCATTGTTCAAGAGCAGCTACTTCCCAGGACCATCTCTCTCTGCACACTACCGAGTCTACTTGCAGCGCCAAACCCCCATGCTCCTAGATGGAGAAGGTTAATAAGTTTTCCTGCAATACCCCCGCAAATTTCCGGCCTCTCCTCTGGTCGCTTTCCTCCTCCTCCTCCTCTGGTTTTTGAGAATTCTCAAGAGTCCCCCTCTCGTTTCCCACTTTTCCCTTCTTCCTCCCTTGCTTATCCCCACAGGTCGCAATGACACGCTCCGTGTGTGCTGCCCCTCTACCGGCCCTTCTCAGGAGACGCAAGGTGTGTGTGTGTGTGTGTGTGTGTGTGTGTGTGTGTGTGTGTGTGTGTGTGTGTGTGTGTGTGTGTGTGTGTCCTTCGTCCCTTGCTCCCCCTTCTCATGTTCCCTCTTCCCATGTTCCTTCTCCAGTCCGTTCTACCAGTATGATTCTGCTTCATACTAAGCTTCTGCTGGTTTGTTACCACGTCCTTGGAATGAAATGCTTCTCCCATCGGCACGTGATACAGCTGGCAGCTGGAATGAAATGCTTCTCCCATCCTCCTCCCTCGATCCTTTCGCTCTCCTCCCACTTCCGCCCTTCTCAAACCATTTGCACCACTTACGCTACATATCACTTCTCTCCTTACCCTCTCTCTCCTTCTCCCTTACCCTTTTCTCCCTCTCAACCCAGTGGCACCACTGCCGCTACCAACGCTACCCATATCCAGCCAGGGGCTGCAGATCCAGTGGGACGTGCTGAGCGCCAATGCGTCTCAGTACACGGTGGCGGTGCGAGTGAGCAACACGCAGCGCTACACGGCAGTCAGCAGCAACCCCGGGTGGTCCTTGCAGTGGGCGTGGCAGATGGGCGAGTGAGTGGGGCTCAGTCAGAGGTAGTGAGTGGGGTTCAGAGTTCAAGAATCGGATTCAGAGTTTCTGGCTTAAGTTTGGTCATCGCATACTGTTGACATGCTCCTGAGTGCGTTCATAGATCCTGCCATTCACGTTGCTTCTTCTCTGTGTGATTGTTCAGCTCAAACACTTGTGCTTCTTCTCATCATCCCCTTTACTTCTCTCCTCACTTTGGCCAGAATGATCCTGGAGTGCGATGGGTGCCAGACACTAAGGCAAGGAGGTAAGCCTCTGTTACAGACGAGATTAGTAACACAATATAAGGTGAGATGAGAGTGAACAGAACAACAAGGTCGTAGGAGACTGGGAACAGGTGATGAGGCGTAGGAGACTGGGAACAGGTGATGAGGCGTAGGAGACTGGGAACAGGTGATGAGGCGTAGGAGACTGGGAACAGGTGATGAGGCGTAGGAGACTGGGAACAGGTGATGAGGCGTAGGAGACTGGGAACAGGTGATGAGGCGTAGGAGACTGGGAACAGGTGATGAGGCGTAGGAGAGTGGGAACAGGTGATGAGGCGTAGGAGACTGGGAACAGGTGATGAGGCGTAGGAGGCTGTGAAGAGGGTAACGCACTGCCATACTGCCGCACGCTGTTGACGCGCCTCAAGAATGCTCCCCATGTCTGGTGAACGCTTACGCATTTCTTCTTTTCCTCGTACCTTTCCCAGGCTGCACCTCATCCCCTGCATGCCTTTTAACCCCTTTTGAAACGCCTCAACATTCCCCCATGTATACTGATTCTCTTTTCCCAGACTGCACCTCATGCCCGGCGTGCATTGACAACCCATCCATCACCAACCCCTACTCCTGCGATCCTATCCCAACCATTGTGGATGGCTCCCCGTAAGCTCCTCTCTCCCTCCATCGCGTTTGCCACTCACATGTGTTATTGAGACGAAAACGAAACCATCTCCTAGGTTACATGCCTCTACGGTGTGTACGTGCTGTGTAGCTCTTCCCTGCGGCCAGCCATGTTTCACTCGAGTCACTTCTTGCTCCGGTTCTCCTCCTTCCTTCCTTCCTTCTTTACCCCTTTCCCTTCCCTTCTTCACCCGCTTCCGCTTTCCCCCCTTCTTCCCTTCTTTCTCCACTTCCTTTCCCTTCTCCCCGTCATCTGTTTCCCCAACCCCCGCCACCCCAGCCTGAACGGATCACTGTCCGCAGCAGCGTATGACAACTCCGCCTCCACGACTTTCACCATGCTTCTGGTGAGCATGTCATCGCGACACTCGCCCCACATCCTTATGTTAGTGCCTCGTCCTGTCGTTCCTGTTGCATCCCACTGCTAATATTGCACCCAATCTCTTCTGCGATTCCTCCTTCCATAATCTCCACCCTGGGACCCTTCACTTCTCACCTTCCTACCACCTGGGCGTTGATCCAGTCGCAGGGATCGCATGCGACCCTGAAGCCTCTGCTTACCCCAACTCCTCTGCGTTACCTTGGTCCTCTGGTTTTCTCTCCCCCAACTCCTTTTCCAAACCCCACCCCAGGCCAAGGCGCAGCAGTACTGGGACCCCTCGCTGCTCACCTTCCCTGCCAACTTCACAGCGCAAGTGTCGAACCAGTCACAGGGATTCGCTTGTGACCCCCCTGCTGCGCTCTCCCCTGCGGCGCTTGAGACTGTGGTGGGCGGCAGACAAACCATGAACGCCAAAGGTGGGCGGCCGATGGTAAACTTATCAGTCGCAGGGATTTGCGTGCGATCCCCCCGCTGCTCTCTCCCCTGCAGCGCTTGAGAACCGTGGTGGGTGGCAGACAGACCATGAATGCTAAAGGTGGGCAAAAGGCAGACAGTGGAAACTAGCAAAGACCGGATGAGGGACTGTGAGGACTTTACTGTGAGGACTTTACTGTGAGGACTTTACTGTGAGGACTTTACTGTGAGGACTTTACTGTGAGGACTTTACTGTGAGGACTTTACTGTGAGGACTTTACTGTGAGGACTTTACTGTGAGGACTTTACTGTGAGGACTTTACTGTGAGGACTTTACTGTGAGGACTTTACTGTGAGGACTTTACTGTGAGGACTTTACTGTGAGGACTTTACTGTGAGGACTTTACTGTGAGGACTTTACTGTGAGGACTTTACTGTGAGGACTTTACTGTGAGGACTTTACTGTGAGGACTTTACTGTGAGGACTTTACTGTGAGGACTTTACTGTGAGGACTTTACTGTGAGGACTTTACTGTGAGGACTTTACTGTGAGGACTTTACTGTGAGGACTTTACTGTGAGGACTTTACTGTGAGGACTTTACTGTGAGGACTTTACTGTGAGGACTTTACTGTGAGGACTTTACTGTGAGGACTTTACTGTGAGGACTTTACTGTGAGGACTTTACTGTGAGGACTTTACTGTGAGGACTTTACTGTGAGGACTTTACTGTGAGGACTTTACTGTGAGGACTTTACTTGATAGCTTTACTAACAGAGAGCGGCTGGACTTGTAATTCTTTGTCAGCTTCCAGTACTCTTCTATCTCGCATACAACTCTCACTCGAGTTACTCCCCTTGACTTTGCTTTTCCCTAATTTAGATCACTTATCCTGTGCATCACCGCCCTCTGTCCCCATGCCTGCTTTCCCCTACCTCAGCCTCTTACGTGGTGACATGTGGCACAGTGGCGGGAAACGGGCCTCTTCCAACCTGCTCCGTGTCAGCATCTGGTAACACAAATCCTTTAGTAACCTTGACACAAAACGGCTTGTTAAGGAGGTTAAACACATCTCGACAACCTGCTTTGTGTCAGCATCTGGTAACTTCCTCAGTAACATCGGCACGAAACAGCGTGCGAATCCCCTTCCCACTCCCACCAACATTTCTCACCTCCACTTCTTTCCCTGCACTTCCTGCAACCATGCCCACCCCTCCATCTTCTCCTCTTGCTTCATCGCATTTTTGTCCCCCATGTTTCCACCCAATTCCCCCCCACACGCCTCCGTTACTTCAACCCTTTTCCCCCCCAATTTCTTCCAGCCTTCTTCAACACCTCGCTCGCCCCCAGCCCCTCCTGCGCCTGCGGCTGCTCTTCCTCCAACACCAGCCAGGGCGGCGGCCAATGCGACGCCGCCACGTCTTCGAGTGCGGACCCCGCTGCAACCGTGCTATTGGGCGAGGACCTGGCAGGGCTGGTGGTGCCGGGGCAGAGCGAGGGGGTGAGTGGACGAGAAAATAGGCCTAAAAAATGGGATGATGGTATGAGGTAAGAGAAGGGAGGAGAGGAGTCAGGACCTGGCAGGGCTGGTGGTGCCCGGGCAGAGCGAGGGGGTGAGTGGATGGGGTGCGAGTTTGATGGAAAACTAGCATGATGGGATGAGGCAGTGGACAATGGAAGAGAGGAATGAGGACCTGGGGGGACTGGTGATGTCGGTGCAGCGCGAGGTGGTGAGTTTGAGGTCCTTGTACTTGCTGCGGTGTTTTAGCACGTATGCCTGCATTCTTGACCCCTCACTCCCTCGCCTCCTCCCATCTCTGCTGTCTTTTCTCTCATTGCTCATCTCTACTCCCTCCACCCTCCTCCCTCCTTCCAATCCAACTTCCTCCCTCCTCGCCTCTCCCTCCCACTGTCGCTCCTACTCTCTCCCACCGGAGCTGTGGCACCGGCTGTGCCTTTTAAAGCGCCTTAAAAGTCCTAACTCAACCCTTTACCCTCCACCTGCTTCCCTCCTTCCTCCCTCCACCCATCGCCCCTGCTCTCCCCCACCAGAGCTGTGGCACTGGCTGTGGTATTCAGGCACACGTGACTGTATCAGATGCGGACGAAACAGGCTGGACCATGCGCGTGGCGCTCTGGAACAGTGCACAGCCCACGATCAAGAACTGGACGGCAGTCTTGGCGTTTCCCCAGGGCTTTGCAGAAAACCTCCAGGAAGCTTCCTCAGTGGTGGCTCAATTCGACTCCCCACCATACGGTATGGCTGGATATCAAATGCTTCTAGATTGGTATAAGATACATCTGATGCTGACACATATACGACACATCAGGTGTGCACCGCAGCAAGTCTGCTCAACTTCCCCACCACTTCGTCCTCCTTGCCCTCAGATTCAACCATCTTTTCAAATTTCTCCTCCCTTCCCCACCTGTTCCCCTTATCTCCCCTCCCTCCCCAGGTGACAACCTAATGTTATCAGGAGAGCCCAGTGTGAACCAGTGGCTGCTAGGAGACGGAGGCAACGTGCAGTGGACTCTCCGCTTCAACCGAACACCCAACACAGCCGGGTTCAACGCCACGGGCGGGGACACTGTTGCCATCAGCTCTTCTGTCTTCCCATTGGCTGTGCTTGTGGGCGGCCAACAGTGCCAGATGCCGGCCTTTTTGCCGACCGCTAAGGCTGCAGGGACAGGTGGGAGCAGGGGTGGGGCTGTATGGTGGAGCGTGGCAGTGGCAGTGGCAGTGGCTGTGTGGGCACTGCTGTGCTGATATGCACATTATCTTGTCTTTACAGATGTTACGGTTTCTGTTTGTGTAGCCTTGGGGGTTTTCTAGTGCTTTTGGACTCACTGAGTGCTAAACTTTGCGGGCAAGTGTGCAATCAAGACCTACTGAGTGCTAAGCCACCACCGGGTTTAACCTGCTTCGTTACAAGGTACACACCCGGCCAAATACACACACCAGTTGACGCATCAGGACACAGAGGTAGCATAAATTGCCATAAAATTCCCAAGGCACGAACATTTCAACGAGAAAAGCACACCGATTCCAGCCAACCACTTTAGGGGTACCCTTGACAGGGCGGCAGCAGCAACCACCCTTGACAGTGCGTGTCATGATGACTCATAATCCATGATGGCAGCAGCAGGAAACGCACTCAATTGCTCTTTCGCAAGAGGTGCTGGCCCTGCAGCTGCAGCAGCTACAAAACACTCATTCCTCTCACCACATGCTACCCCTCTCGGCGTCAAGTGCATGGTTGCATGGGAGATGAGCAGGAGATAAGATGCTACTTCAGCAGCAGTGGCGGCGGCAGCAGCAGCAAAGACCGTTCGTGGCTCCTCTTAGCCACAAGCTCCTGGTCCTGCAGGCGTTGCAGCAGCTGTGACACCCTCCTCTCACCGGTGCGACACACATGCCATCAAACTGATAACCCCTGCCTTAACTCCTCTTGGACATTAGCTCCTGGTCCTGCAGGTGCTGCAGAAGCTGAGACGCCTTCCGCTTAGCCCTGGGCGTGCCACTCCTCAGCAGCAGCTGCAGCGGCGGCACAGCACCGCACTGCACCGCAAGCTCCGTGTGCTCCCTGCCGTTCAAACACAGCGAGAGCAGCACCGAAGCCGCATTCTCCTTGTTCCTCGGAGACCCATCTTTCATAAGCTCCACTAAAATAGGCACTGCAGTCGCCTCTCCTATCGCCGTCCGCCCCTCTGGGGACGTCGAAAGGACGGCCAGGATCGCAAGAGCCTCGTCCATCATGCCCGATCGACGATGCACGAGCAGATCCACAAGAGGCGCAACCACCCCGGCACGCACAGCCCTTGCCTTATTCCCCTGGTAGATCGACAGGTTGAAGATTGCAGTAGCCGCATCTTTCTTTCCCCGAGTTGACCCATGCTGAAGCAGGTCCACCAGGGCCGGTATCGCTCCCGCCTGCCCGATCGAAATCTTGTTTTCATCCATGACTGAGAGCGAGAACAGCGCCGCTGCCGCGTTTTCTCGAGCCTCCATGCTGCCTCCTTTCTCCAGAACCCGAACTATAGCCGGGATGGCTCCAGCTGAGACAATCAGGCTCTTGTTCGGGTCGTTGATTGACAAGTTTAGTAACCCGGTAACCGTATGCTCCTGCATTTTGGCATCAGCTGGGAGAGGGTCAGTGAGTAATTCGACCAGGAGGGGAATGATGCCTCCTTCGGCCATTGCAACCCGGTTCTCCACACTTCGTTTCGCCAGCAGCCTTACGTCAACCGCAGCACCCTTTCGAACCTCCAGATCCGGCGAGCGAAGCCGGTCCCGAAGCTGCATCACCTGATGTCGATCCGAGAGCGAAATCTCCGCCGAGCCTCCGTCCCCGGTCCCACCTGCTCCCCCACCGGACCCACCACCCCCACCGCTCCCACCCGCACTTCTACCCCCGCTGCTGCTACCACCACCACTGCTGCTGCTGCTGCTACCATGCTTGCTGCTGTGATGGCGGTGCCTGTGGCCTGACTTGTGCGTTCTCTTGGGTAGTTCAACATTGTTGGCTTCGCACCATTGCTGGATGAGGCTTCGCAGGGAGAAGTTGGGGATGAGCGAGGCGGGCTGGGATAGGATCTGCTGCGTCTTGGGGCACGTCTTGTGACCCTCCTTGAGCCACTGCTCTATGTACGCTCGATCGTACGTCTGTTGGGGGAAAGGGGGGGTGGGGGAGGTGGCGGAAGAGGTTGGGGGGGTTGGTGGTGTTGGAGTGTGCCTCAAAAGTCGTGTTGGGTGCCGTCTTGTGACCCTCCTTGAGCCACTGCTCTATGCACGCTCGATCGTACGTCTGGCGGGGGAAGGGGAGGTGGGGGAGGTGGGGGAAGGGGTTGGGGGGGTTGGCGGTGTTTGAATGTGCCTCAGAAGTCGTGCTGGGGCACGTCTTGTGACCCTCCTTCAGCCACTGCTGGTCTGGAGGAGTAGAGAGTTGTCAAGAAGGAAAGGAGTTTGGTGTCTGGGGAGGGATTATAGGATGGGAAGGGGGGAGGCAGGGAGAAAACGGGGATGTGAGAAAGAGGCATTAGGATGAATACAAGAAAGTTACACTAAGAGGAATCCATAATATCTATCTCTAACACGCACTGACCTGGCCTGTAGAGACGATCACCGGATCCCTCATAATCTCCAGCGAGATAGGACAACGGAAGTCATCCGGAGGCACCACCAGCCGCCCGGACTTCGACCGCAGCGCCGACCCAGTGCCCACGCCGATGCCGCCCCTATCCACCCCATCCTCCGGATTCCCCTCCTCCCCTCCCGACCCATCCCCACTCCCCGACTTCCTCATTCCACCGCTCCCCTCCTCCCTGTCCTCCATCCCTCCGCTTAGACTCACTTTAAGCCGCTCCAGTAACAGTATAATCTTCTCAACCTCCCTTAGCTTCTCATTCTTTCTACTCTCCAACGTAACCCTCCGCTCTGCATCCGCTCTTGAACACACGCTGCCATCCCCCGACCTCCCATCCCCCCCTCTAGAAGAAACTGCACTTTTGGGTGAAAACAGAGACTTGGAAGAAACAGAAGGGCCCTCCTCTTTCCCTTCCCCTCGCCCCCCACTAGACCCTCCCTCCTCCTCTCCTGAAAAACTCATCTCTGCCCCCTTCCTGAGCTCCTCATTTAGTCGCAGCCTCAGCCGTTCCATTGCAGATTCCCCACCCCCACCCCCTTTGCCGCTTGCCACTGCTGCATCCGTCTCCTCTATAAGCTGATCCCGCGCTCGTTTTAGCGAGGCTATCTCCTCGAGAACAGCAGGCAGGGAGATCAGCCCTAGCTTGCCCAAAACCGGGTCTAGTAACCCTGCTTCCACGGAACTTAGCGAGGGTAATGACGGAAACCGCCCAGCTGCCCCCCCTGCTCCTCCTGCTGCAGACCCTCCCGCCCCTGCCCCTTCCTCTCCTGTCACACCAGACGGTAACACTGTGATCGTAACACCAGCAGCAGAAGCAGCACCCTTGTCAATCTCCGCACGTGTATGAGGGAAGGCGGGGAAGGCGGAGAGAACGGCCGGGGAGGGAGGAGGAGCAGAGGGGTGCGGCGACCGCGGCACGGCAGACAGGTCAATCATCGGTCCTGACCCGTCAACTTCCCCCTGGGAAGCAGCAGCAGCAGCAGCAGCAGCGGCGGGGGCGGGGTGACGGGCGGAGCTGTTGAGGGGAGGGCCGCCCAGGCGCGGGTCAGAGAGGATGTGGCGCACGTCGGCATATAGCTGCTCTTCCTGCGCGTCGTCCAATGCTCGGCTGCGCTTCAACTGCACTTGCACGAGTTGCGTCTGAGGAAGGGAGAAGACGGGAGAATGGGGGGAGAGAGGAAGAGAGAGATGTGGTGTACGTCACGTGGGCGTACAGCTGCTCCTCCTGTGCATCGTCCAACGCGCGGCTGTGCTTCAGTTGAACCTGCACCAGCTGGGTCTAGTAAGGTGGAAAGGGGGAAGGGAGTGAAAAGAGAGGGGAGTCGAGGGGCGAGGGGAAGGGACTGCGCCCAACACCCCCCATGCGCCCACCCGACATCCCCCCTAATGCGCCCGGCCCCCCATCCGAAATGGCCATCACGTTCACCCAAGCGCCTCAGTATCCTTCCCTCCCCCCGCCCCCCCCTCCTCCCCCCCGCACATGGCCCCTCTCCCCGCCTCCTCATCCCCCTTCCGCGCACCTGCTCCTGGATTTCTTCCGAGATCGCCATCACGTTCATCGGAAGGTCCGCCAGCGCGCCGCTCAGCTCCAGGTTCACCGCGCGCATGCGCTCCGCCATCGCCTCGCGCTCCATCACCTGCGCGCGCGGAGACGGGGGGAAATGCCGGGGAAGGGGGCATGGGCGGGGGGAAGATGGCGGGGAGGGGGGGGGAGGAGAGAGGGGGAAAGGGCGCGGGAGGGGACACGAAGGGGGAAGCCTTGCTCAGTATAATGTTGAGCGCGCGCATCCGCTCCGCCATTGCCCCACGGCTCATCGTTTGCGCAACGCGTACAGCGCCGGGGAAGCAATGCGGAGAGGTGAGGCGCGAGGGGTGACGGAAACGGTGATAATGGAAGAAATTTCACACGCGAAACATCAGAGAGGCGCGAGGCGTAGGGGCGAGTGAAATGCGGGAGAGCGGGGTGAGCGGGGAGCGCGGGGAGGGCGGGAGCGCGGGGAGGGCGGGAGCGCGGGGAGGGAGGAGATGATGTGGCGGGAAAGCGAGGACGCAGGAAGATGATGCGATGCGAGGAGCAAGGTGCAACGTTACAACCCTGATTGTCAAGATGAGTAAGGTAAGAAGAGGGGTGGAAGGAAAGCGAGGGGTAACGATCGATAAGGTCGACTGACCATATAGATGGATTAGGGAAAGAAGGGCGGTAGGGAGAAGGGAGGTAAGGCGCACTGACCATCCAGATGCGGCTTCCGCTGCTGCAGTCCACGAGAATGGTCTTGGCGGCGCTAAGCGCGGCCCGCATGCTCTGAAACGCCACCACCGCCGCCGGCGGGAGCGGGCTCTTGACGTCTCTAATCTCCTCGAAGAGCGGCGCGAGCAGCTTGATCCGACGGATGAGAATCTGACACGAGCGCTTGTGGCTGCGCAGGCGATCGCCGAGCGCGGAGATCTCGTTGATGATGGCGAGTAAGGAGCCCACTAATGCCATCGATGATGACGTGGCCATCCGCGTCGACGACATGGTGACTGATTGCAGGATTATTCGGGCACAAATGCTAATGTAGTTGGCTCGAATCTTCTTGTTTCGTTGGCTTAGATGCTTCTGGGGCTGGCTCCGAAGGGGAAACTAAATATCGGGACAGGAACTGACGTGCAGATAAAAAAGGGCCAACCTAGTGTACGGTTGGCTGATAAATTGAGCACATATTCATGAGCAGCGATAGACTGTTCGTGCATCAAGCGAAGGAGGCGGACACACCAGCAGCTTCAGCCGGCTGTTGAGGTGAAGCCATAAATGTGGAAAGCTGGCTTTTGTTCGTAACCGTGCTTGAATCGAAACAGGAAGTCTTGGAAACTCGGCGAGTACGAACCACTTGCTGCGATGCAGAAACGGAGCTCCTAATGGATTTGCCATTGCGAGTTACCACATTATTTCGAAAAAAAATCATCGTAGACGCGCCGATGAGGCATTGAGAAGATTGCGAAAGTTGGGCGAACCTGTCATGGTATTGGGTTTCGTGAGCTCGTGAAAGTGGATGCAGGGCAACTCGGCAACCTTCGTACCTGCTACAGTGATGCTTCATTCAGATAAGACAACTCAGCTTCGGGATGATGTGAGATTGTCAGACAAGCCACTGTCAGGCTCTGACGCCGAGTCAACGCGCAAATTTTCGCGACGCTGCGAGCCGAGCTGCCGCCTTTTTGGTTTCATGGATGCCAAAGACCCTTGTGGGGTGCTTGAGCTGGAGCTTGCTCGCATCGACGGCCGAGAATTTCGTTTATGAAAGTGATTGACCCGATCGGAGGGTGAGTATCAGCTAATTTCATCAGCTCATACTCCATAACATTCAACTCAGTACTGAGGTTGTATTCACTACACCCTATGGGGAAACACCTTTGAGCCCAGCAAATGTACTGTGTGTTTCTTCCTCCCCTTCTGGCGTATCTGCCGGCATGCAGCATCTCCCTCCGTTTTCTCATCTCGCCAAGACTCGGCACCTAACGGGTTTCTCTTCAACATGACGAATCGGTATAATCCGTATAGGTGGAAAACTGGAATGACACTCACAGCGTAGGCTTTGTTTTCAAGAATCGTATGTCATTAGGTAAGCAATTCGCGTGTCTACTTTTATGTAGCTAATTGCTCGCCTCATGGGCAGGGAAGCCCCAGGAGCTCAACCCAGCGGCGCCGGCTTTCCCGGCGCATCGTCCGGAAGCAGGCTTCCAAAGAAGGAAGAACCGCAACGCGACGACGAAACTAGCGACGAGAACAACGACGAGGGAGACGACGACGAGGAAGAGTGGACTCACGAGGACGACAAGGGACGCGAGATGCAATTCTCGCGGATTCTCGAGGGCGTAGTGTTTGCGATTAGCGGAGTGGCGAATCCGGAGCGCGCCGAGCTGCGCGGGAAGGCGATGGAGATGGGCGCGCGGTACCGGCCGGACTGGACGCCGGATTGCACCCTGCTCGTCGCCGCGTTTCCCGGCACGCCGAAAGTCAGATCCGTGACTGCCGATGACGGCACGATTGTTTATAAGGTTCGCGCGTTTGAGCGAGGGGTAGCTTGGGAGTCGAGAGGGTAGCGTATGAGTCGCTTTTGAGATTCTCAAACGAGACGATGGACAGCTGTTGGCGGACTGAGCATTCCGTGCGCCCATCTTTCCTTTCATTCCACCTCCAACGCTGATACCCTCGTATCTCTCGCTCCCCCTCTCCCTCTCTGTCCATGCCCGTGCCTGTCCACCCGTGTGTGACTAAAGAGGTGGGTGGAGCAGTGCTACAGTAATCGCCGCCTTATGAGCATCTCCCCCCACCTCTTGCATCTCGGGCGGCCGTGGCGCCAAGGCGGGCCGGCAGACAGAGACGTGGAGGACGGCGGCGGGCGGCGCAGACGAATCGTGCCGGCCAGAGATCCGGGGCAAAGGGGGAGGGATGGGGGGAGGGGGCGGGGAGGGCGAGGGGACACGGGGAGAGCTGGGGGGAGGGGAGACGGGCAGGGGGGTGACAGGTTGGGAGGTCATGATACGGGAATGGGGCGTGGGGGAACGCAACAAGAAAGAGAAGGAGCAGGGGGGGGAACAGGGGGACAGGCGGAGGCGGGGGTGGGGGAGGGGGAGGAGGAGGAAGAAAAGAAGCCCAAAAGGCGGAGGCTGCTCATTCCCCCACTGACTGGGGGCGGAGACATGGGGGGAGGGAACGGGGGGAAGCTATCGGGGGAGGAGCTAGTGGCGCAGTGGGTGGCGGGGGACATGGTTCACGTGAGGGCGTTTTTAGAGGAGCAGGAGGAGCAGCCTCCCGAGGGGGAGGTGGATAGAGTGGCGAGAGAAGGCATGCTGGCGTGCTTTGATGACGCCATTGCTGGCGTGGAGAAAGGGCAGGTGAGATTTCTCTCATGCGTTTTTCTCTCCTGTGCTTTCAGCAGGTATTGCCTCGAGGCTCGTCATGCCGCGTAATGCTCACTCACTTCCCACACTGCTACTTTCCCCACATCCACACAGTCTCCTACAGCCCGCCTCACCTCCTTCTCCCTCTTGTATCTCCCCCCCCCCCCCCCCCCCCCCCACCCACCCCCCCATCCCATTCCAGGCGCTCGCAGCATCGATTGCCTCGTGGCCTGTCGTGCCACGCGCGCTGGACCCCCAAACCTCTGTCTCCGCCCCTCCGCACCTCCTCCCCTCCTCGCTTCCACCGCTGCCGATCTCCCTGGGGTGTGGGGGGGGGCGGGGGGAGGGGAGTGCCTGCGGGTGCTAAGGCAGTGGAGGGGGATGTATGAGCGGGAGCTGGGGAGAATGGGGGAGAGGGGGAAGGGGGAGGGGGGAGAAGGGAGTGGGGGAAGTATAGGGGGAGGGGGAGGGATCTCGGTTGGTGGGGCAGTGGGAGGAGAGAGGGGCGAGGGAAGTGGAGGGGCAAGAGATGGGGATGAAATGGCAGGAGGGACTGGTAGGGAAGGGGATGGGCGTGTTGGTAATGGTGGTGTTGGCGACACTACGGTTGGAAATGATGGTGCTGCTGCGGGTGGCAATGTGGGCAGTGGGAGCAGAATTGGTGCTGCTGGCCCCGCACCAGGAGAGGGAGAGAGGAATCTAGACAAGGGAGATGGTCGTAGTGGTAACCCTATCGATGACTACGAAACTGACAGCTGCTGAGAGTGGGGAGCGGGTGCGGGTGCGACAAACTGAGAGTAACGGGAGAAATTGAGAGGAAGGGAGATGGTCGCAGCGGTAACCCTATCGATGATTACAACACTGACAGCTGCTCTGAAGGGGGAGCGGGGAGGGTGTTGCAAAGTGAGGGTGACAGCTGTTTGCAGTTCAGGCTGATTATTGGAACGGGGACTAGTGTCTGATGTGAATATTTTCTAATACAGTAATGTACAGCTGTGAGCTCTGTGAACTATATTTTATTGCAAATTCGGATTCCTTTGTACACAAAAGTGTTTCAAAAACAGTATTACCTCTTCCCGTCAATTCACCTTCATTATCGCACTTCACATTCTTGTGACGAAGAATGATGTATCGAAGAGCAGTGCGTAGTAGCAATTAGGGCGGGTCCAGCGCGTACGTTTACAGGTCCCATACAGTTCATTCGTAGTGGTTTGAAAAGATATCAGGTGGTGCACAACGGTTTCAAAACTGCACCGTTTTGAACCGTGACGCAATACAGATTATCGCACTGGATGAACTGTAATGTACGGAAAACGTACGTGCTGGACCCGCCCTTAGTAGCATATGTGCCACACTGAAGTAGAAGCTGCCGCGATGCGGTATGGCACGATCCGAACTCGTCCGAGCTTTTTGAATTGGTTTAGTTCGTCGCCTTAATCTCCTCTGACATGGCCCCTTGCCGCGCTCGCCAGTGTAAAGCAGTTCCGGAGTCTTTCTGACACGTCGCAGAACTCGTCGTTCAGGAGTTACAGCGTGAACAAACTTCGCGTGGCTGTCTGCCATGTGTCACTTAAGACCTTTCCGTTTTCCCCATGAACGATTGTGAGCATTCATCGACGCTGTCAGTCTGAGGAGTTCAATTTAGCGGGTTTCACGCGGCTATCGCTCCTTCTGCCGCCATGGCTACTGCGCGCCAGTATTTCCCGCCGCAGTCGCAGCGCCAGCCGCAGTTCTGGCGGCCGGGAGCGGCGCGTCCGGGCGAGTCGCTCGCGTCTCGGGCGTCGCTAGCGGTGGACGCGGACGGCGCGGATGCTGACGTGTCAATAGCCTCGCTGGCAAGGTGCGACAGTCACCCCGCTCGTAGCCCCTTCCTTCTCGCCGTACTTTGTTCCGTTAGCGCGGGTAGGTCGTGAAAGGCTTGCAGCGCTCTAGTTCCAGAGTGTGGGAGGGTATCAGTCTCTCTGATTCATTCTCCTAAGGCGCCTTGATAGGAGGGGATCGTCTCTCTGATTGATTCTTGATTCTCTTTAGGCGCCTTGATAGGAGGGGATCGTCTCTCTGATTGATTCTTGATTCTCTTTAGGCGCCTTGATAGGAGGGGATCGTCTCTCTGCTGGAGGTTGTCACTGCCAGTGTGGTGGATGGGATTTCACCAGTCTCCCTTCCCGCCCTCTCTTCCCGTCCTCTCTTCCTGCCTTCCGCTCTTCCCCTCACTCCTCGCTATTATTCCCTTGTACAAAGTGGGCGTGAGAAGCTACCGGTGTTCAAGCATAGGCAGGGGATCTTGTAACTTGTGGTGGAGACTCACGTTGTCACTGTGGTGGTTGGGATATACGAGTCTCCCTCCCCATCCTCCCTTCCACACTTCCCCCCCACTCTCCTCTGTCAGTCCCTTTGTACAGAGCGGGCGTGAGAAGCTACCGGTGTTCAAGCACAGGGAGGGTATCTTATACCTGGTGGAGACTCACGCCGTCACTGTGGTGGTGGGGGAGACAGGCAGTGGCAAGACCACTCAGATACCGCAGGTGAGAGCACATGAGTTGAAGGCTTATGAAAGGTAAGAGTTGATGTGATGAAAGCGGATGGGGTGAACCGTGAACGTGCATGTGGGAGCTGGTGCTATCATTCCCTTGCTATATTCCATTCCATGACGCAGAAGCCTCTCATCCCCACCTTCATGAATGTACCAATGCTTTGTTCTTCTTCCAATTTTGCTCCGTTCGTCTGACCCTCCTTCCCAACTTCCCAAGCCTCCTCTCCTCCACAACACTCTCCCACCGACCCTCCTCTCCTCTCATTACTGCTGAGTCTGGCAGTACCTGGTGGAAGCAGGGTGGGCGGCAGGAGGGCGAGTGGTGGCGTGTACGCAGCCCAGAAGAGTAGCAGCTCAGGTGAGTGTCAGGTGGAATTGAGGGTATTCAGTTCATTTGGGCGTGCCCCAAGCATGGTTTGGGAGTTCATGTGTGAAATTGCTTGTTAGCAGGGGCTGTACGGTACGGTCCCTAAATCGCCTCTCTCGCCCGTACCCCCCATCTCCCTTGCAGGGACGGATGGGATGGTGAGTCGACATAATAGTGATCTTCCCTCTCCCTCGTTCCGTTTCTCCCCGTTGTTTTGCCAGATGGTGGCAAGCAGAGTGGCGGAGGAGATGGGGGTGGCTCTGGGGGAGAGAGTGGGCTACAGCATCCGCTTTGAGAACGTCACCACGCAGGTAACTGACTAGTTGGCCTCGTTTTTACTTTATGTGTGCGTCTGCACTCCACATTGAAGTCACGTTCTAGAGTTCTCGGAGTGAGGGAGGAGATGGGCTTGGCTTTGGGGGAGAGAGTGGGATACAGCATCCGTTGTGAGAATGTCACCACACAGGTAGATAACATGCCGTGACTTGCTTTTGAGTCGACTCAAAAACATGCCGTGACTTGACTTAACGTGTCTGCAGCACTCCACGTCACGTCACAGCGTATATGTGTTGTTGTGTGCCCTTCCCCATGCCATTCCCCCCGGATTCCCCACTGTCTCCATATTGGCCTTTCTCCTGTAAATTGTGCAACTCCTCCACCCCCTTCCGCTCCACCACTACAATGAACAACACCATTGGCTGGATACAATCCACCACCGCGTTGTGTCCAAGGAGGGCTTCATTATGAATGTCCTTTCTTTATTTTTCCCAATTCCATTGGCTACACTGCACAGGGGTTTTTGGGAGTCTCAGAACTCGCGTGATGCCCGACAGTCTGCTTCATGTATGTACCTGTCGCATCTTACACTTCCCTTCCACTTTGCGTTGGCTGCACAGGGAGTGACTCAGATCAAGTTTCTCACAGATGGGGTGCTGCTGCGGGAGATGATGGAGGACCCGCTGCTCTCCAGATACAGGTCAGGCATGGTCACGCCTTGTCACGCATGGTCACGCATGGTCACGCATGGTCACGCATGGTCACGCATGTTCACGTCGTGCGCGCGGCAGACCAAGACGCGCGCGGGGACCTGCTCCTTTTCTGTCTGATTTGTTGCCTGTCTGTATATTGTGGTTCCCTCTTGCTCGATAACAACCTATGCCTTATGCGATTGGGTATAACTCAGTTGTATGACATGCGAGAGTGTCGATTGAGTGTACGTCATGTGAATATATTTCGTGCCATTATATTGCGGTGCATGAGGCGCATGAGCGCAGCTGTTTCATGTAGACTTATAAGCCATTTTTAACACATCGTGTGTTATTGTACTGCATGCATGGCAGTGTGATCATGGTGGACGAGGCGCATGAGCGCAGCCTGGCAACGGACATTCTCCTGGGCCTCCTCAAGAAGGTGTTGTTCTCGTGTTGTGATCGTGGGAGGTTGGTGTAACCCCCGTGTTTGTTGTTTCTCTTCTTGCTAACCTATGCTAGCTCTTGCATGTCATCGAAGCCGGTCAGCGTTTGTACGTTTCTGCTTCCACTGCATTAGCCCCGGCCCTGCCCCTTTACCCTCTTCCTCTGCCCCTCTTCCCTTTTTCCCTCCCTTCCCCCTCTCCCCGCGCTTCCCCCTTTGCCTCTCCCTGTCCGTCCCCCGCTTCTCCATCCATGCCCCAGGTGATGCGGCGGCGTCCTGACCTCCGATTGGTCATCTCATCTGCCACGCTGGCAGCTGATGACGTGGCAGCCTTCTTTGACACCAGGTGTGTTGCCTCGCCCACGCTCGGCTAATCGATCTTCTTCTCGTTCCATTCTTCACCTCCCCTCTCTCACGATCTCTCCTCCTTTCCCCCTCTTTGCATTCCCCGGTCTCTCACTCACTCCCCTTCCGTTTCCACTCCCCCGACTGCTGACCGTGTTTTTGTTTCACAACCTTCACCGCACGTCACCCCTTTCCCCCAGTAACCTGTCTCACCGCCCCCTAGCAACGAGAAGCCAAAGTTTCAGCCAGAAGGCTCTCAGCTTCAAGCCCTTCCCAGCTGCAAGCCAGCGATCATATCCGTGGAGGGGCGCAGCGCAGCCACCCCGTGCAGCTGCTGTACCTGGAGGAACCCACGTCAGACTATGTGTAATGCTTTAACCACACATCTCCCCTGTTCCCCCCTGACCCTGTCTCACCGCCCCCCCCAGCCACGAGAAGCCCAAGCCCTTGTCGTCACAAGGCCTTAACACCCTTCCCAGCCGCAAGCCAGCTATCATTTCAGTGGAAGGAAGGAGTCACCCGGTGCAGCTGCTGTACCTTGAAGAACCCACATCGGACTACCTGCAGACAGCACTTGACACCGTGCTCGCCATTCACTGCCAGGTGAGGCCAACGCTCCTCCTCCCTCCTCCTCCCTCTGCCTCCCTCCGCCTCCCAGCGCGTCATCGCCCTTGCAGCCGCTATTCCTGGAAGCACCACTTTGAATGTCTCTTCTTCATTGATGGCTTAGTGATCTTCCTGATCTTACATGCAATTGGACTGTAATGCAAGATAAAACGTTCCTTTTGTCTCCTGCACCTCACCCTTTTAGGAGCCTCCAGGAGACATACTTGTGTTCTTAACGGGACAGGAGGAGGTGGACACGTTGGTGCAGCTTATAGCGGAGCAGAGCAACAGCTACACTCCCTCGTCCGAGAAACTGAGAGGTATGCATCCCTGTCCGTCTTCTTGCGAAGTCAAAATTCAATGTGCTAGTGCGGACGCCTCTTTAGGAGGCGATGCCATGCATTAAACGTGTTTAGTTGCAGTTTCCTCTTTCATAGCACTATGCAGAGCACGCGGCACGCCTGTGGCCTGTCACTCACTCACTTGCGTTTCTGTCCTTCCCATTCTAACTATTCCTCATTTCGTCTCTCATCCCTACTCTTCGCCCTTCAGGCCTCCAGGCGTTTCCTCTCTATGCTGGTCTACCAGCCGGTGATGTTGTAAGTCCCGCTCCTTTACTTGGGTATGTATGGTGGCACTCGTAGTATAGCGAGCTAAAATCGATTCACTGGCGACACGACGCCTCTGTTTCAAAGCTGGTCTGCCGGCTGGTGCCATCGTGAGTTCTCCTCGCTCCCTTTCTCCCGTCTATATTCGTTGACCCTTGTGAGTGAGTGAACGAATGTCACCCGGGGAATGGGTTGATTCTAAAAGTACATGCATGCACACGAGCGCACATGCCCCTCCACACATAGGCACGCGCGTTCGTGTGCAGGCATGCACACAGGTGTGCGAAAGTGAAGCACATGCGTTTGCCTCGCGGCCCCTCTCATACCCCCCCTCTCTTATGAGTCGACTCAAAAGTCAACTCTCAAACCCCCCCTCTCTTATTCGTTCCCTCCTCCTCCTCCACCACCACCACCACCACCACCACCACCACCACCACCACCACCACCACCACCACCACCACCACCACCACCACCACCACCACCACCACCACCACCACCACCACCACCACCACCACCACCACCACCACCACCACCACCACCACCACCACCACCACCACCACCACCACCATCACCACCACCACCACCACCACCACCACCACCCCGACAGGAGGCTGCATTTGCGCCCACCCTGCGGGGGAGGAGGAAGGTGCTGGTGGCGACCAACATTGCCGAGACGTCTCTCACCATCGAGGTGCGTGCGTGAGCTTAGTGCTTGAGGCGCCTCAGAAGTTTGCTGCCTTGGCACGGGGATGGAGGAAGGTGCTGGTGGCGACCAACATCGCAGAGACGTCTCTCACCATTGAGGTCCGTGGTCTTAGTGTTTGAGGTGCCTAGAAAAATGCAGGAGAAGAGGCGACCTTTTATCTGTTATTTTGTTGATCTTCGATTGGACTAAAAAAATTGTCCTGATGTTGCTTCTTTATATGAGTTAAACTTTTCTCCTCTTATTGTAAAATGCGGTTGAGGAAGCAACTACATCCCACTGCCCTCTCTTTCTCCTCCTCTCCCCATCAGGGCATAGTGTACGTGGTTGACTGTGGCTTTGTCAAGCAACGGTTCTTCGACCCTGTAAGTGCTCCTCCCGTCCAATCTTCCACCCTTCCTCTTATGCCGCGTCCCTCTGTGTTCCAGCTCTGTTTGGCCGTTGACCTTTGTGTTCCAGATCTGTTTGGCCGTTGACCTTTGTGTTCCAGCTCTGTTTGGCCGTTGACCTTTGTGTTCCAGCTCTGTTTGGCCGTTGACCTTTGTGTTCACAGCAAATCTCAGCGCATCTTCTTCCTCTCCTCTCCCCTGTGCTGTGCCATGCCGTGCCGTGATGCGCCTCCTGCCCCCATCCCTCCAAGTGTCAAACGTGGATACGTTGCTGCGGCCCGTGTCACAAGCAACAGCACAACAGAGAGCAGGCAGGGCATCAACCCGCCCTCCCCAACCAACCTCTGTACCGTTCTGTTTCCCCATCCCACATCCCACATCCCCCATCCCCCATCCCCCATCCCCATTTCCCCAGGTATCAAACGTGGATGCGCTACTGCTAGTGCCCGTGTCACGAGCATCAGCACAGCAGAGGGCAGGCAGGGCAGGGCGAGTGAGGCCGGGGAAATGCTACAGGTGAAGTTACTCGCACTCGCTAATCTTAGTACACTCAGAATGGAATTAAAACAGTTATAGGGGCATTGCTGCCCCCAAACCTCTGTCAATAATAGCAACGTGTTGGATTTCTAATGTGGCTTGCTTCCTTCTCTCCCCGTTTCTCCTCACCTCTTCTCTCCTCTGCTCTCCCGTCCTCTTCGCCCCTCTTCTCTCCAACAGACTGTACACAGAGCACAGCTACTTGACAGATCTTGCCGCCCACACAATCCCGGAGATCCAGCGATCAGATCTCACAGCAACAGTGCTGCAGCTCAAGTCGCTCGGCATCGACAACATCATGCGATTCGATTGGCTCTCGCCGCCCGCGCCGTCCGCCATGATCCGCGCACTAGAGACGCTCTTTGCCGTCCGGGCGCTGGATATGGACGGCAGACTGACCAAGCCTGTTGGAGTCCAGCTGGCAGAGTTTCCTCTGGTAAGATGCACGTGGTAACCACATGCTGGTAACTTCATGCTGGTAGTAACCACATACTAGTAATTATGTGCAAGTACTGTCATGCTTGTAACCCCCAGCTTCCTTCCTCTCCCCAGAACCATCAATCAATATTCACCTTACCTGTTGAGCCTGCTTATTCCCGTCCCCCGCCTCTCTCCGTTCTCTCAGGACCCTCTGATTGCCTTCATGCTGCTTGTATCGGCCAATGCACCTGGCACCACCGCTGATGGTGCTACTGGTACTGCGATGAAGAGTGGAGGGGGTGGAGGTGGCGTGGGTGGGGGGAAGGAGGAGGATGATGAGGAGGAGGAAGACGGAGATGGGGAGGACGCTGATGGTTGTTCCGAGGAGATGTGTACAGTTGCTGCGTCACTGTGTGTGCAGGTGAGAGGAGGAGAGTGTTGGCTTGCAGACGGGAGGTTAGAGCGGTTGGGAGGTGTGGCATGAGTGTGAGGGTATGGAAGGCATGCAGGTTTAAGCTGAATCCTGTTGACCTCCATCCTCCTCATGTATTTCTCCCACGTCCTCCTCCTGTCATACTCCTGCCTCTCCACTGCTGCTTTTATCCCTCCACCAGGCTGTATTTAAGTCGTCTTTTGAGTCGACTCACTGCATTCCTCACCTATCTGCCCCACTTTCTCCCCCTTCCCCCGATCCTGCATCCCCCCTTCCCCCGATCCTGCATCCCCCCTTCCCCCAGTCAGTGTGGGTGGGCAGCAGCGGCAGGCAGAGGGAGTCAGACAGACTCAAAGAGCGATTCGCTGCTGCAGAGGTGAGTAGCTTTTTAAGGGAGCATGTAGGGAGGGAGCATGTAGGGAGGGAGCATGTAGGGAGGGAGTATGGCATGGTACAGGTGTGCTTGGGAAGTGCTCACAACACGGTGCCAGACTTTTTTTTTGTTTTTGGCTTGTCCGACGGTGGCAGAGAGGTTGGGGAAACAGCAAGGCATGGTGCTCTGGTATACCAGACGGTGGTATACACTCGCCGCGCCTCTCCACTCCACCGCATACCAGCTTATTTCTTCCCCCTTCACTAGTGCAAGTTCATGTCCTGCCTGAACATGCATGGAGGTTTTATCCATTCATCGCGGTGTAGTGAGGCCGGCCAAAAACATAACTCAGTTGACCTCACTGCAACGCCAACCCCTTCCTCACTGCAATGCCAACCCCTTCCTCACTGCAACGCCAACCCCTTCCTCACTGCAACGCCAACCCCTTCCTCACTGCAACGCCAACCCCTTCCTCACTGCAACGCCAACCCCTTCCTCTGTGTTCTGCAACGCCAACCCCTTCCTCTGTGTTCTGTGCGTTCGATGCTCTCTCTCTTCTCCCACCAGGGCGACTTTGTCTCCTATTTGAACGTGTATGAGGGCTTCACTCGCAGTGGCCGGTCGCCCAAGTGAACTCGCCACATCCCCTGCCCCCTTCTTCTGCACTCCCTCCACCTCTCTATTCTCTCTATTCTCTGTGTTCCCTCTGTATTCTCTGTGTTCCCTCTCTATTCTCTGTGTTCCCTCTGTCTTCCCACCAGGGCGACTTTGTCTCCTACCTGAACGTGAATGAGGGCTTCACAGAAAGTAACACGATTCACCTCGCGACAAGACAACCCCTCTCCCATCCCTCCATTGTTCACGCCTAACTTCCTCCCTTTTCTCCCACCAGGGCGACTTTGTCTCCTACCTGAACGTGTATGAGGGCTTCACTCGCAGTGGCCGGTCACCCAAGTGGTGCCACGCCAACGGCATCAACTACCAGGCCATGGTACACTGACTGACTACCATGGGGAGGGGTGAGAAGTGGTAAGGTCGCATGGTCTCATGGTGGTTTGGTTCCAAGTCGACTCGAAGTCGCATGGTATTGGTGCACTGGCAACCGTGGTTTCTGTGCTGTGCTCTACTTGCTATGCTCTGTGCTCTGTGCCATGTTTCTGCATTGTAATTCGTACAAATCTCAAAACTTCCCAGTGCAGTTTACAGCCAACCGACTGCAGACATCTTCCCTCGTCTATTCCTCTTTGGCCCTCACCCCTCCTTCACCTCTCCTTACCCCTTCTCATCCCTCCCCATCCCCCCATCTCAGCTGCGAGTGGACGATGTGAGGGGGCGGCTGAGGAGGGGCCTCAGGCGCTTTTCAAATCTGCCTCCTCACCCCTCCCCACCCCTTCTCGTCCATCCTCACTCCTCCCTACCCCTCCCCGCCCCCACATCTCAGCTGCGAGTGGACGATGTGAGGGGGCAGCTGCGGAAAGGGCTAAGGCGCCTGGGGCTGAAGCTGCTGTCATGCAGAGGTGACGTCATGGTGGGTATGCTCATGACGTCATGGTGGGTATGCTCATGACGTCATGGTGGGTATACTCATGACGTCAGCACTTAACGACATGCCACTCTTTCTCCTGTCCCACACTCTCACCTTATAATTTCCGTCCCCTTATCCCCCACCCCACGTTCCCAGTCCCCCTACCTGTCCCTCCTCTTCCCCATTTCTGTTGCTTGCCTTCCCACCCACACCCACCCACAACCCCACCACACCCCCTCCAACCCCGCACCACCCCTGATTCCACCAGCTGCTCCAGCAGGCAGCAGTGCCATCTTTTATCACTTCTCGCCACCCACCAATATTTTGTTCCACTCTCCCCTCTGCCAACCCCTACTCCTCTCCACCAGCTGCTCCAACGGGCAGCGGCGGCCTCTCTCTTCGTGAATGCGGCTCAGCTCATGGTAAGATCTGCAGTGTATGACCTTGACTCATATTCGAAGGGCTGCAGTAGTAGAAAGACACTTAAAGGCCACAACCCGAATTACACAACTAAGTCAACGAAAAAATTGTAGGTTCGGAAAACCCCAGAAGGAGGTTCGGTGGAAAAATCGATAACCAATCCCGTCAAAAACCCACTCAAAACCTTCGACCAATCACGTGAAAGTGGTGACAGTTTTGGGGCCGACACGGTAATTCTGGATGTGTCCTTTAAGCAAAGGATCAACAGTGAGAAAACAAGTGTGAAAATCGCAGATCTGGAAAATTCTTCGTGATATGTGTGATCTGCAGCGTATGAGCGGGCGGTGCAGCGTATGAGCGGGCGGTGCAGCGTATGAGCGGGCGGTGCAGCGTATGAGCGGGCGGTGCAGCGTATGAGCGTGCGGTGCAGCGTATGAGCGTGCGGTGCAGCGTATGAGCGGGCGGTGCAGCGTATGAGCGGGCAGTGCAGCGTATGAGCGGGCGGTGCAGCGTATGAGCGGGCGGTGCAGCGTATGAGCGGGCGGTGCAGCGTATGAGCGGGCAGTGCAGCGTATGAGCGTGCAGTGCAGCGTATGAGCGTGCGGTGCAGCGTATGTGCGTGCGGTGCTGCGTATGAGCGTGCGGTGCAGTGTATTAGCGGGCGGTGCAGCGTATGAGCGTGCGGTGCAGCGTATGAGTGGGTGGTGCAGCGTATGAGCGGGCGGTGCAGCGTATGAGCGGGCGGTGCAGAGTATGAGCGGAACTCATGACTAGCATGTGTGAGCACTCTTGGATTCACTCATGAATCCAAGAATGCCCACACATGCTTGTCATGAGTCCGTGCATGGTTTGTCTAAGTCTACGCACATGGTTGTGCATGAGTCTATGCACGTTCCATTCCGCTTCCCATCCCGCCCTCCCCTCTCAGCCTGATGGTGACGGATCAACATACAAGTCCGTGAGGGGCTATCTGAACCTTAGGATTCACCCCTCTTCTACCATACCCCCTCCCTTCCATACCAGCCTGATGGTGACGGATCAACATACAAGTCCGTGAGGGGCAATCTGCATCTTAAGATTCACCCTTCGTCCGTCCTTTTCAGGTATGACAAACCCCCTTACTCACCCCACACCTCACCACTCCGACAAATTTCATTCCCCCTCCCTCCTATCCATACTATTAAAGTACTGAACTAACAGCAGCAGCCATCTCACCTTCCCGTGCAGTGGTCTCCCCCCCCCCTTTCCCCCCTTCCCTACCCCCTCATGTGTATTGGATTATCCACCTGTTTCGCAGAGTGGCGCCGCAGTGGGTGGTGTACCGCACTGCTTCACAAGTGCCATTCTATTGCCCCCTCCCCCTTCCCCTGCATCCATGAACGTTACCTGAACCCTGCACCTGCCTTACAGAGTGGCGCCGCAGTGGGTGGTGTACCGCACTGCATCACAAGTGCCATTCTATTGCCCCCTCCCCCTCCCCCTGCATCCATGAACGTTACCTGAACCCTGCACCTGCCTTACAGAGTGGCGCCGCAGTGGGTGGTGTACCGCACTGCATCACAAGCTGACTCGTTTTTGTACATGCGAGACGTGACTGCGGTTGAAAGAGAGTGGCTACTGGACGCTGCTCCACACTTCTTCACACAGAGACAGATCGGAGTGCCTACAAGACCATAACTCTGATTTGTTTCTTCCCTAGTTGTCTGGTGCTTTGTTCATCTTTCATTTTAGTAAGCATGTGTTTCTTTAATGCTGCTTTCGAAATTGCCAGCAACACCACTACTGGTACCACCACCATCACCATGAGCACATTGCTAGTGCTACCTAGCACACATCAGCACTATAATGAACAAAATTCCAACAACCTCCCTGTAATCTCTACCTTTGCATACAGTACAAACCGTTACGATATAGTACACCGCTGACCACCCTCCCTCCTCTCCTTCTCCTTCCAATCATCCCCCTCTCCCCGCGCCAACGCCTCATGCTCTATCTCTGCTACAACCTCCCTATGCTCCCTACACCCCACCACCCGCTGTTCCTCCTCCCAATACCTCTCCTCCACCTCACTCCCCTCGGGCGGGGGCGGCCGCCAAAACACTCGCGCCAGCGCATCAACTGCCCGGGAAGCTGCCCGGAATCTTTTCACTGAGAGCCGCCCGGACTGTAGCGCGTGCGCCAGCGCATTAACAGCTTCTGCCTGTCTGGTCTCCGTGTGGCAGACCAACACCATATCCACCCCTGCTGCTACAGCCAGCACTGCTGCCTCTCCCACACCCACATGCTTCACTATCGCCCCCATCTCCAGGCAATCTGATAGCACGGCGCCTTCGAAACCAATCTCCATACGAAGGTAGGAGAGGGCACCGGGGGAGAGAGTGGCAGGGAGAGAAGAGCCGAAGGCAGCCAGTGGGGAGGGGTTGGGGGATGGGGTGGAGTGGTTGGTGGGAGGAGGAATAGGCTGCTGCTGGTGTGGCTGTTGTGTGGTTGATGGGGATTTGACTGTGTCAGCTCCAGTGGTAACACAACTGTTACTGCTATTTCTACTGCTGTCATGGCTACTCTTATCACCAGCACTGCCAGAACCCCTCAGGTCAGACTCAGAGAGCGATCGCGGCAATCCCAAGGTTGCTTCTGCTTCTCTCCTCGCCTCGTCCCACTGCTTTCGCCTCCTGTACGGGGAAAACAGATCCCACCGTGGACTGATGACACGTTTCACACTCTCTGGGAGGTACTCCATGGAAGGGGGAGGCTGCCACGTGGCAAGTGCAGGCACTGCCACGTGGGCGACCATCACTGCTGCCACGTCAGCATCCACTGCTGCCCGCGCAAACGGCACCAGCTCCACAGATTCAAGCCGGCTGAGATCGTGCGACGAATAGGGAAGCGCCAGGTGGCTATCGATCGATGTATCCCCATGCCCTGGGTAATGCTTCACACACGCTGCCACCCCCTCCCCTTGCATACCCCTTATAAGCTCGTACCCCATCTGAGAGACAACACCCGGGTCCCGACTAAACGACCGAGCCCCTATAACTGGATTGTCAGGGTTAGTATCTACATCTAGTACAGGAGCTAAGTCTATATCTATATGAACCGATCTTAACTCCCGCCCCAAGACACGGCCAGCCGCCCGAGCGAGATTAGGGTTTCGGGAAAAGCCGATGGTGCGGGCGGCGGGGATGCAGGTGAAGGGTGGGCCGAGGCGCGTGACTCTGCCGCCCTCCTGATCCACCATGATGAGAAGACGCCGAGGGAACGCCGCCCGCTTGAGGTCGGCGCAGAAAGAGGCCAGCTGGCGGGGATCGGAGAAGTTGCGGGCGAAGAGGACAACACCGCCCGCACCTGGAAGGGGGAGAGGGTGAGAGGGTTAGAGGGAGTGAGTGTGTGAGTGAGAGAGTGAGAGCGCATAGCTATGTGGGAGCTGGCGGAGGTTGGAGAAGTTGTTGGAGACGAGAACGATGCTGCCCGCACCTGGAAGAGAGGGTGGTGAGAGGCGGGCGGGCGAGGGAGTGACAGAGTGAATGAAAGGGAGAGAGTTAATGAGTGAGAGGATGCAATGATAACCGAGGGGCTGTTGTGCAGCGCTCACCCAATGCGATGAGGCGGCGAGCATGGTCGTTAATCTCCTTCCCGTTGAACCCAAACGCCACTAGCTTAGCCACCGCTCGTTGGTACACCGCTAGGGAGTCTCCAGCCTCCGTTGCTGTAACCGAAGCAGTTCCAAACGGGGACGCGCTGTCAGGGGAAGACGACGTGTCGAGGGTAGAGCCATCCTGCCGCTCCCAGCTAGTACGGGGGGTGTTTCTGTTCCGGGTCGTTCTCACGTTGATTGATCGCAATTGCACGCCTAAATCCGCTCCCGTGCTTCCCGCTTCACCCGCCTCGCTTGTTCTACCCGCGTTGCTGTGGTTCAAACGAAAGGACCATGCACCGTCCCTGTGCGCCACGTCACGCCCGTTTAAACGGTAATTTTGCGCGCCTTGCTGCTCCTGCTTTTGCTGCAGGTTTTCCGCAGCAGCTTTTGCGCCTTGCGCAATCTCCGCCTCCCCCCCCTCCTCTGGCCGGAAAAAAAGCGCTCCCTCCACGAGGACGGGATCCAACGGCTGAGCTGCGGAGTCAGGCTGACGAGAAATATCCGCCATCGGATTGGACCAGCCTCTGGTACGATGCGCAAGGGGTGGTGCAATATGGATATCGATGCAATTGGGTATTGCCGCTATACGCTATCGCCACGAGTATTTGGTCGCCGCAATTAGTCACTGCAGACTCGATTGCGACGACGGCCCTAGATAATTACCTCATGTCAAACGAGACCCACTGGTGCAAAATAGACAGGTGTGCTGGAAACCGAAGAAATCGAGGGGCGAAATTTCAGGAGGGAAGTTGAGTGGTGTCCCCGTTAGAAGCCGAGCCATGGAAGTTTCGCACCCAGTGCAGGACATTTGGGTGTTACCGTTGTTACTTCTGCAGTATTAGATTGGAAATGTAAACTATGCACCAACATGATAATGAAATATTTGAGGTGCTTAAAGGTGTGCCAGCCAGGGCTCAAATATTACATGCAATGCCTTCAAAAAGGTAATGTCTCGGCAACAATTAGAGCAGGGGACAAGCTGTTGGGGAAAGAGCTGTGATGTGCCGTGCTTGTGTGCACTCTCCACTGACAAAATTGGGCCGAGGTGTGCGGATGGGACAGACTCTAGATCTACTTGTTATTATATATATTAAAAGTATAAATGTTGGTCTCTCCGGGAAGGATTCGGAATGTACATTCAGTGTACACTTGAATAAAAGTCTGAAACATCAGTGTTAACTATGAACGTTAAGGCTGGAAAAATCAGTGTCCCAAAAATCTCAACACTGAAAAATCAGGGGAGGTACACAAAACTAGGCTGAAAATCAGGAATTTCAGGGGGAAATTCCTGATATCGTAGGGCCTGATGGCATATCTTAGTGTTAGTGTTTTTTTAATTAGTCAATGTGGGTGTTTTGCTGGTCGTATTAGCATCACTGCCTGAGGCGCGAATGTGAGTTTCGCCCTCGAACTTCATCGCCCCCACGAAAATGGCTTGTGGCACCTCTCTTGCCACTTGCAACGGAAGATTCACCTGCACGTGGCGACAGAGAAATAGTGGGAGGGGGCAAATTTCGGCAGATTGCCTTTGAATGTACCGCGAAATTTCATTGAGGGAGATGTTGGGAAAATAAACGCATGACTTAGTGCGTTTCTGTAGTATCGAACCTCACCCGATACTGAAGCACAACAAAAGGAGTACGAAGTCGAAAAGGCGCGTACCACATCAAACCGCAACTAGAGGTTGCGAGCTGTAACCGCCTGGAGGTTACGTAACAGCAAGCGACGCTTCAGTGAACAGTAACCACCTCGATAGTCAAAGCGCTACGCGTCTCGATAAACATAACCGTTCCTTGTAATCTATCTTTTCTATATATTCCTGTATGCCCTTTACTTTAATCAATTACTTGTTCTCACATACCAGCACAAGTACATTCACTCAAGACTTCCGCTGTGCTACTCTAGCACTTACTAGCCTATTCTCTGCAAAGATCCTAAGGCTGAAATTCTCAGCCCAACATGGTATGAGAGCAGTCAGAGAACAAAGGCTCTCGTCATTAAGCCTCTTTCAGGCTACCAATCTGCAAACGACCAAGAAGTTCAACCTTCACTCAAGAAAGGCAAGACATGGCAAGTGGCAAAGAAAGAAGATCATCTACGGGATCTACTCTACCCCCGGTCTCCGAGTTGCAGACCGAAGGAGGAACAACGCCCGGATTAACACCGGAAGCGACGGAACGCTCCACTCAAGCACCAGTGGCGCCGCCAATCTTCAACCCAAGCCTAATGGAGGAGTTCTTCAACTTCATGTCGCAGCAGCAGTCCTCACAACCTGCAAACAGCAACAGCGTAAACAACGGAGCGGCACCAATGAGTATTGACAACTCATCGTTCGGACGACACAATCAACAAACACCAAATTCGGTCTCACCTGGTTCCTTCACGTTCATGCCGCCCCGCCATCCAGCGACTCCTCTTCCCGCCATCAAACGAGACCCCGAAGAAGTCCTGCAAGTACAAGCACAGTTCAACAACATCCTACGATTGCACACATCCACACCATTCAACGGGAAGGACTTCTACTCTTGGAGCTTCGAATTTGAACTCCTGATGGAAGGCGCGAATCTTCTTGGCTTCTTCAACGGTACCTGGCCATATCCACACAACGGCGAAGACAAGGACAAAGAAAATTATACGTATCACTCCCTCATGGCTTACACCGTTCTTCTCCGAAACCTGTCGCCGAATGAACAACAAAGCATCCGCGCCTACCGGAACTACGCAAACTCCGCGGAACTCGCTTATCAACATCTGCGAAGTATTCATCAAGCATCCGACAGCGTTACGCAAAGCCGACTCATGGCACAACTAACAACAGTTCAAATGCAACCTGGAGAAAAGGCCATGCCTTACATCAGTCGCTGTCAAGGACTACGCGACAGACTCATTCGCTGCGGAGGAAACTTATCTGAAGAAGCTTTCGTAACCGTCGTTCTTGCCGGCCTTGGACCTCAGTGGCGCACCACCCGCTCACTTCTTCGCGCTCACGGTCGACTCTCCGAAATGCATCTCTGCGCCGAACTTCACGCCGAGCAGCAGGAAATGGACCTGTTCGAAGAACGCAACAACAAAAGGCATCATCAACCAATCGTTCTTTACACCAATCGACGACAGCCACGCTACCAAAATCGAGGACACGTACCTCCCTATTGTCATCTTTGTCGGACTTCAGGACACACACGCTTCAACTGCCCTCAGCAACAACGACAACCAGCACCATTCTCTCGTCCTCTGCGACCAGTGCCTCCCCACATCGCGTCAACTCAACAGCGACCCGCTACCGCCTCAACGACTACTTCAACACGACCGTCAACCTCCACTTCGGGACCTGCACAGACACCAAGAATCGTCGCCATGGCACGAACAACAGAGTCAAACATCGACTCGTGCATTACCGGCTCTCCACCAACTTACAGTCCTGATGAGCAACCATCACCACCACCATCGTCCCTTAACGTGAATCCAACGTACGCCGCCATCGCGAACCGTGCACCCACCGGACCAGACACATGGTTCCTCGACAGTTGTTGCGGTCATCACATGTGCTCTTCATCACGATTTCTTCAGCGCGAACGACGTCTTCCGCGAGACGTCATCATCACCATCGCCAACAACGAAAACCTGCGCACCAACAAACAAGGAGTCGTGGAGCTTCAGTCAAACGAAACAAACGTTATTCTTCAATTAAACAAAGTACTCGTCGTCGACAACCTCGGCTTTAACTTACTGAGCGTCAGCCAACTCATGTCGAAAGGCGTTCACCTGGAGTGCGATTCCGACGCCCTGGAAATCCGTCTTTACCACGGAAAAGGGGGGGTCTTCATCGGCCGTGCAATCCAACAAGATGACGTGTTCGTCCTCGACTTCGTCCCCGACAAAGGCACCGCAGACAGCGACGGTATAGTCGCTCTCGCACCTTGGACGCATCCGCCAGACCTCGACCCGAACTTCAGTCCTGAAGGCTTCTGGTACTCTCGTACCATTCCCGAAGCTGAACGCACCAACGCGCTTGCCGTCCTGCAAACACAAGCCACAACACCTGAGTCAGCACCCGTCATCGAAACAACAACTGCACCCGTCACAACACCAACAACCTCCGAACCTGCAATTGAAGAACCAACCGTCGTCGCGGAACAACCTACCGAAACTCTACAGCTCGGTCCCTCCGTCGCACCTCCACCTCTCATCATCGACACGCCACCGACAGCCGCCCAACAGTTAACGCCAGCACCACGCGCCGTCCATCGAAGTGCAGCAACTCACGCCGCCTTCTTCGCTAACGCAGACTTCTATCGACGCTCCGTAGGTCACAGCGCCTCCGAAGACATATGGCATCAACGTCTTGGACATCCTGGAAACACAACACTCTACAATACAATACGAGCCGGAGTGTTAGATAAGAACGCCCTACTTCTTCCCAACGGACGAGAACTCGAACGACCACGCGGCACCTGCTTCATCTGCCCGGAAGCAGATCTGCCTCACCAACCGTTCCCGTCACACCACAATCCGAGCGCCCCCGCTTATCAACCACTCGAGAAAGTCTACAGCGACATACTATACATACCTCGAACGGAAGGACGTGAAGATCTGAACTACGTCATCACCTTCATCGACGCCGCAACGCGATATGTCTGGCACGTCAACTTACCGTCACGAGACATGGCTCTAGAAGCCTTCACAGCCTGGCTACCTGTTGCTGAAAGAGAGTCAGGAGCGAAACTGAAGAGTTTTCAGTCAGATGGCGCAAAGGAGTACCAGTCAAACAGCTTCACACAGTTCTTGGCAGAAAGAGGCATCAAACGCCTCATCTCTCTTCCTTACGCTCACCAACAGCAGGGTGTGGCAGAAAGGATGAACAGGACCCTGCAGACAACCATGCGAAAGCTGCTACGTGGAACTCGACTGCCCAACTCAGAATGGCCAGCAGCGATGGACCACGCTGTCCTCCTGCACAACTTGCTGTCCTCGTCATCACTGCCCAACAACGCATCTCCGCACCTGTTGTGGACTGGGAAGCTGGGCAACACAAAAATGTTACGAGTTTTTGGGTGTATGGTACAGTACCGCCCACACACTGCACGCGCAGGGAGATTCTCGCAACGTGCACAGTGGGGTCTACACCTCGGGCTGGCAAAATATTACGAAGCATGGCGAATCTTCGACGTCCACACAAAGGAAACAGTAGCAGCACGTGACGTTATCTTCTACGAGCGACTCACCCTCAACCATTACCTGGACAACATCGCACGCCACGTCGACCCCACCGGCGGATTTTCTGGTTCCCGAGCCTTTGCTTCACCCTCTGATGCTGCTGACTGGGAAGAAGAGAACGTCGATGGCGCTTCCGAAGCTGCTGGACCCCTTCCTTACTGCTCCGTCCCAATCCCCATGGACGAGGAAAACCCTCGCGACAGTAACAATGCCGACGCCTACTACCATTTCGCCGACAATGGTTACGTAACACCCCAACCCGTCAACACCGACATCTCTGAGAGATACGGCCCC